TTACTAAGAGAGCCAAAACACATTATGTGACTTTTGCTAAATTTTTGTGGTATTTTTCAATTGAAGACATCAGTGTGTTCCTTATTGCTTCTGCCCAATTATATTTTCTCATAGAGTTTATGTCTTCCATGTAATTAAGAAAGACCCATCCGACTGTTGTTCCTGATGTAAAGAAAAAAAGCTTCAAACAAGTATACATATACAACATCCTAATTACATCTTCGGTGTCTTCTTTCTTCTTGCCTTTCAATGCTTTTTGCAACAAGTCCATGATGGTTATGCTCGATAACCTTTCAGTTTGTATGGATCTTCTTGTCATAAATGATGATATACTTTTATTTCCATAGCCAAGATGCATCGGCTCAGCTCCGTATGTAACGCCCCGACCCTTTACACGTCATCGATATTGTCCGCTTTGGGCCACGCCCGCACGGATTTGTTCTTCCCAGTGGGTCACCCATCTTAGAACTACTCCAGCCTAAGCACGCTTAACTGGGGAGTTCTAATAGGGATTTCACCACTTAGGAAAAGGCCTCGATGCTATATAAGGGTCCAAGTTTTTACTTTTATAGCCCAGGAACTCCCCCTCCATTCCCGATGTGGGATACCGGGGCCTTACACCGCAAGATATACCGAAGATGGACTTGATGTGTTTTGTTATCAGCTTTACAGTTTCTGAACCTAATTGGAAAGAACCACTGCTACCTGGCTGATATGTTTGAATTATTTTGAATGCAATATCATCATATTTTCTATATTGTTTATAATTCAACTTGTTCTTCAAGATTGCATCAAACAATAACCAGAATGAGGTTTTCTTCAACCCTTTAATATGCCCATTCCTGAGTTTGATGTGCTGTAATAGCTTCACTATTGTCATCATGTTTGATCTGAAAGTTAGTTTCCATTCTCTACGCTTTCCCTTTTCTTTTTGTCCATCGAAGTTGATTCTTTACGCTTTCTTATTGTTTTCTTTGCATTGCTTTTTAGTCTTGGTGGTTTCATGAGATGGTTTCTTGTGTGGAAAATCAATATAGACGCCATATTGACACTAAGAATGTGTCCTAAAAGAATCAATCCAATGTCATTCTCATGAAGTCTAAATTTGATAACATTCATGGCTATAAAAACAAAATCAACATTGAAACTAAAATCGAAAGCAAGAGAATATTATTAACTAGAGATTTTGACTCAAATTCATTCAAAATCTGAGAACATTCATAGCAATCGTATCAAAATAAATAATGAAACCTAAATCAAAAGGAAGAGAACGTGAATAACTAGAGTTTTTCAGTCAAATTGATTGAAAACTTGAGAACATTCACAACAATCATGTCAAACTCAATATTGAAACCTAAATTGAAATCAACAGAATATGATTAAGTCTGCGTTTTAACTCAAATTGACTAAGAATCTAAGAACATTAACAACAATCGTACGAAAATCAACATTGAAAACCAAATTGAAACCAAGAGAATCTGATTCACTAAGGTTTTTTACTCAAATTGTCTAAGAATTTGAGAACATTCACAGGAATCGTATCAAAATCAACATAGAAACCTAAATTGAAACTAAGAGAATATGATTAACTAAGGTTTTTCACTCAAATTGATTGAAAATATGTGAACATTGACAGCAATGGAACCACACTCAACACTGAAACTTAAATTGAAAGCAAGAGAATATGATTACTTAGGGTTTTTCATTCAAATTGATTCAGAATATGAGAACATTCATAGCAATTGCACCAAAATCAACATTGTAACTATGATTTTTTTACTTAAATTGACTCGAAATATGAGAATATTAACAACAATCGCACGATACTCAACATTGAAACCTAAATGGAAAGCAAGATAATATGATTAACTAGGGTTTTTACTCAAATTCACTAAGAATCTGAGAATATTAACAGCAATCAAACCTAAATCAACATTGAAAACTAAATTGAAAGTAAGAAAAAATGATTAACTAGGGTTTTTTACTCAAATTCAATATGAATGTGAAAACATTAACAGCAATGGTACCAAAATCAACATTGACACTTAAATTGAAAGCATGAGAACATGTTTTAACTAGAATTTTTCACCAAAATTGATTCAGAATATGAGAACATTCACAACAATCGTAACAAAATCTACACTGAAACTTAAATTGAAAGTAAGAGAAGATGATTAATTAGGGTTTTTCACTTAAATTGATTCAGAATATGAGAACATTCATAGCAATCACACCAAAATCAACATTGAAATTTAATTGAAAGCAAGATAATATGATTAACTAGGGTTTTTTTACTCAAATTGACTCAAAATATGAGAACGTTAACAACAATCGCATGATACTTAGCATTAAAATCTAAATGGAAAGCAAGAGAATATGATTAACTAAGGTTTTTACTCAAATTCACTAAGAATCTGAGAATATTAACAACAATCAAACCAAAATCAACATTGAAAACTAAATTGAAAGCAAGAGAAAATGATTAGCTAGGGTTTTTCACTCAAATTCAATATGAATTTGAAAACATTAACAGCAATGGTACTAAAATCAACATTGACGATTAGATTGAAAGCATGAGAACATGATTAACTAGGATTTTTCAGCCAAATTGATTCAGAATATGAGAACATTCACAGCAATCGCAACAAAATCTACATTGAAACCTAAATTGAAAGCAAGAGAAGATGATTAACTAGGGTTTTTCACTCAAATTGATTCAGTATATGAGAACATTCACAGCAATTGCACCAAAATCTACATTGAAACCAAAATTGAAAGCAATAGAATATGATTAACTAGGATTTTTCACTCAAATTGACTCAAAATATGAGAACATTCACAGCAATTTCACGATACTCAACATTGAAACCTAAATGGAAAGTAAGAGAATACTAAGGTTTTTTTACTCAAATTCACTAAGAATCTAACAACATTTATAGCAATTGAACCAAAATCAATATTGAAACCTAAATTAAAAGCAAGAGAATATGATTAACTAGGGTTTTTCACTCAAATTGACTCAAAATATGAGAACATTCATAACAATTGCACGATACTCAACATTGAAACCTAAATGGAAAGTAGGAGAACATGATTAACTAGGGTTTTTTACTTAAATTCACTGACACTATGTATGGGAATTTAGGAGAGAAAAGAAAAGAATTGATTACTTAAGTTATAAGAGAAAAGAAAATAAAAGAAATGATTGTAATTTCTCTCATTCTTGTTTGGATAAGTAAGAAATAAAAGAAAAGAAATGATTATCATTTCTCTCCTTCTTGTTTGGTTAGATTTCATAAAAGAAAAGAAAATAAATTATTTTATGTTATATTACCAAAATAACCTTTTTATATTTTCAATCATTTTATTTCTTTTATTTTTACAGGGAAAAAATTGGTATTATAAAAATATTGATTTCTTTTCTCTCTCAATCTCTCCACTTTTGGAAAGATTGAAAATGAGGGTTATAAAAGAAATGAGTTTCTCTCTGTTTCTTTCCATTTCTCCCCATTTCTCTCTACTTAAATATCTAAACAAGTAAGAAAAATACATATCTCTCAATTTCTTTTCTTTTCTCTCCAAATCACTCAATCCAAACATAGCGTAAGAATCTGAGAACATTCACAGCAATGGAACCAAAATCAACATTGAAACCTAAATTGAAAGTAAGAGAATATGATTAACTAGGGTTTTTCACTCAAATTCAATATGAATCTGAAAACATTAACAGCAATGGTACCAAAATCTACATTGACACTTAGATTGAAAGCATAAGAATATGATTAACTAGGATTTTTCACCGAAATTGATTCAGAATATGAGAACATTGACAGTAATTGTATCAAAATCTACATTGAAACTTAAATTGAAAGCAAGATAAGATGATTAACTAGGGTTTTTTACTCAAATTGATTCAGAATATGAGAACATTCACAACAATTACACCAAAATCAACATTGAAACTTAAATTGAAAGCAAAAGAATATGATTAACTAGGGTTTTTTCACTGAAATTGACTCAGAATATGAGAACATTCACAGCAATCGCACGATACTCAACATTGAAACCTAAATGGAAAGTAAGAGAATATGATTAACTAGAGTTTTTACTAAAATTTAGTAAGAATCTGAGAGTATTAACAGCAATCAAATCAAAATCTACATTGAAACCTGAATTGAAAGTAAGAGAACTTGATTTTGGTGCCATTACAATGAATGTTCTCAAATTCGCAAACAAAAACAAAAACAAAAACAAAAGTTTCGAAAAGAAAAGTTTTGAACTCAACATTCAAGCTGAAATGGATATTAAAAACAAAATTTTCAAAAATGAAAGATTCCGCAAAAATTAGGGTTTAAGATACTAAAATCTTACTTGTTTTCACCGTTTTTGATTGTTTGGATCTTAGAATGTTTGATGATCTAGTTTGTTTTTGGCAAATTTGAGACGAGATTGACGAATGAAGACGAAATGTGAGGCAAAATTAATGAAGGTGAGAATGAAATTGCGATGGTGAGAAATGGCAAGATGAAGTGTGAGAATGAAAATGTGATTTTGCGATTTTGTGTTTTATGTTTTGATTTGGTAAGGGTAATTTTGTCATTTCAAATTAATATGAGACTTATTGGTAAAAAGTTTTTGAAGTAGGACTTAATGTACCATTATTTCCTAAAACGGGACTTACCTATAAATCATCCTTATAAATTTTAGCAATAATTTATAAAAATCGTGATAAAAAAAAGTCATTGATTATTAATTTTTAATAACATATGCAAAAAATATAAAAAAAAAATATTTTTAGTAACAATTTTACTATAATTTATTTTAAATAGAACTGAATAATAGCCAAATCTAATTATTAATAACTATTGATAGTTTATCAAAATAGTTATTCAAAACTTAAAAAATATTGGGCTCGATTGAGCGAGTCATTGGGCGAGTCACCTATCATACTTTGAATTGTGAATGGGTTAGGCCTAGAGAGCTGGGTTGGGTTGGGCTTATTGGTGAAAGTAGTACAGAGAGTGAACACTGTATAGGAGGAAACAGAGGGAAACTGCACAGAGAGAGAGAGAGGAGAGAGAGAGAGAGAAGCAAGGAAGATGGAGGAAACCATACCTTTCAAAAACCTCCACAGCAGAGAATATCAAGGTCACAAGAAGAAGGTTATCTCTCTTTCTCCCTCGTTTAATTTTCTTTGTTCCATTTGTGATCAGTGTGAACTTATAGAAAACCATGTTGAATTTGTGAATAGCACCGTTGAACCCTAGACGAATTGATCATTGATTAGTTATTTATCGTTGATTTTCAATGAAAGGTGCATTCGGTGGCTTGGAATTGCATTGGAACGAAGCTCGCGTCAGGTTCTGTCGATCAAACGGCTCGGATTTGGCACGTTGAGCCTCACGGACATGTATGATTCTTCCAAATCAAGTGTTCAATTTTAAATTTTCGATGAAGAAATAAATTGACAAACTATGCATGTAATACAGGAAAAAAAAAAGAAAAAAAAAAGCTTAATGCAAATCTCAATTGAAAAAGTATGGTCATGTTTGGTTTAATTTTTAGAAACTCGTTTCAGTATTTTTTTTTTTCTTCTAAAGACTAAAAATTAGTTTCGTGACGAAAATGAAAAAATCAAAATCATTTATCATTTTTATATAATTTTATTTTTTTGGAGGGCATAAATATTTTTTAAAAATTTAAAAATATATTTTTTATGTTCATTTTTGTCAAACTAGTTTTTATTTTAAAAAAATGGAAAATAGTTTCAAAAAATAAAACCAAACATGGCCTAATATCTTTTTCAGGAAGAAATATAGGTCTGCTTGTGTGTTGCTCTTGTATTGTTTTCTTATTTTTATTTTCATGATTTTTCATGTCTATCATATTTGATTACAAAATATAGGATGAATAAAGTTTAAGTAATTCAATATATGCTAGGGCTTGTTCAAAAAATAAAATAGAAAATATCTACTAGGGTTTAACTCGAAGTATTCAATGAACAAAATAGAAATCACTTCAAAAAGCTAAGTTTGTTGGCATTGGTGTGAAAAGATGGACTGAGTTGTGGGAAAATCTGAAGCATTATAGCAGCATATTAGCAGTTGTATATATATATATATATTTATAAATTAGTGTTTGTTTCTCAATAAGCGGTCAAATCTCTTTTTCATGTCTTAATATTTTATAGATTTGGATCGATCCTGATTGAATTCCTCTGTTGAGCAAGCACTGATCTAAAACTAATCAGTTTTTTACCATGCCTAACCTGGTTCTTTGTTTCCTAATTGTTCATCATAATTTAAAATCAACATTTGTGACTCTTTATAGCTCTTGCTTTAGGGCTGCCTAGTATGAGAGGAGAGGGAGTTGTGAAGGATAAAATGATTTGCAAAATGGAAGATTTTAATTGGCATTCACGAATGTTTGCAGGTAGTTTTTTGAGCATTTTAGCACCGTGAAAATGTGGGGCTGCAGCGTTTCCTTATTATAATAGTATAGATATATCACCAGTACTATGAAGAAGATTTATAATTTTATGTGAATGTAACTATTCCTCCGTTATAAACCTCTTTAATTTGACTAACGAAATGGCTTTGGTTTGGTTTTGTTTATTTTAAATTATTCAAAATAATTATCCATTGGCATTCCACTCTCCACTGTTCAATTACGTCTTCGCTCTCTTCTAAATGTAATGGCCTACTTTTGTTGTCAAATTAAAATTAAGTGGTTAAAAAAATATAAAACTCCCAACATACCCAAATATTAGTGAAAGGATTTAAATGTTATTATAGAAAAGGGTCTTGCTCACAAAAAGGTGTTCGTTCTTTTATGTATAGTATAGACTAGTAGGGTGGCACATACTACACTAACAGGGCTTTTCTTAAGGTGGAGATAATGCCAAATAATAGAATCCAAATGTTCACACATTTTAAAACGTTTTTACGTACATTTTCTATATACTTTCTACACGTACATCGTTACTAATGACCATCCATGGCTGTCATTAGCATTTCAGCATTTCCCTAATAAAATAGGGTATGTAAATTCATGTCTTTTGACGTTCTTGATATTTTTCATTGAAATATCTTTTCATTTTTCTGTTGAAATTTCCTTTATTGGGGAAGTTGTTGCAATATTGGTTTTTGTTATGAGCAGTGCTATATTTCCAACATTTATCTTCCCCTCCATATTCCTTTTGTTATTTTGAAGTTGTTTGTTGCAGGGCAAGGTTAAAGATATTGAACTGAAGGGACATACTGATAGTGTGGATCAGTTATGTTGGGACCCCAAACATGCTGACTTAATAGCAACTGCGTCCGGTGACAAGACAGTTCGTCTGTGGGATGCTCGTAGTAAGTGAATGTTATACTGCATTGGTGTGCTTAAAAATGTAGAACAATGAAATGCTACTGGAATTCATGCAATAATCATGTTAGAGAATAGAGATTTTGAAGCTCCTTATACTTCTATCTTGGTTATCAAAAGGATTGCTGCATTCGTTTTTGGTTACAATAAGTAACTTGAATTTTAAAACTGGGATAAAAAAAATTGATCCTTTCTTACTAATATGGAGACGTTTGATTTATGTATCTCCATAATAGATGAAAGTCAAAAAATAGATAATAAAATATGGGTATTGCTAATGATAGCCCTAAGGGCTGTCAATAAGAATCACTTAGGGGTTGTTTGGGATGTCCTTAATAAGTGCACTTTTTGACTTTTTGGATTAAAAAGTAGAGGAAAAAAAAGATGGTGGTTTGGGATAACTTTTCGACTTTTTACGAAAAAATGTGTATTAAAATATTGTATAAAATTGTAAAATTACGAAATTACCCTCGCTGACACAAGCTGCAATACTGCGCTGCACAGTTTCTGTCTCCTTTCAATTTTTTTTTTTTTTTTTTTTTTTTATTTTTTTTTATGGGAATGTGTGGCTACAAGTGTGCCACGTTTTCAATTGACTTGGGATGTGTGGCTGCACAGTTTTGTGCAGCACTGTTTTTTTTTTTTTTCAATTGACAGATTTCCCGCTAAAAAAGAGTTAAATAGTATGAACTTTTTTGCTTTTTTAGTGACTTTTTGACTTTTTGAATTTTTTTAGTGATGCCAAACCAGCCCTTAATGTTGAAATATTTATAATTTCAATACACTTTTCACATATCTCAAAACTAGGAATGGCAACGGGGCGGGGCGGGGCGGGGCTAGGGATCACACTCCCCGTCCCCGATCCTCGATCCCCTATGGCAAAAATTTTCCCGTCCCCGGCCCTGATCCCCGACGGGAAACATATCACCGTCCCCGCCTCCTAACGGGGATCGGGTTTCCTAGACCCTGAAAATTCCCCGGCCCCCCCAAAAAAAAAAAAAAAAATTTCTCTAGTTGTAGATCTAACACCACAATCACAACCAACTCAAACCCTAAATAGAACCCCAAAAAAACAAAAACAGAATCAGAATCAAAATCACAACCTCTTTATATCACAATCACAGTCTCTTTATACCATTACTAGAATCAAAATCAGAATCAGAAGTTGAAGTTGTAAACAAATATATAGATATATACACACACACACACACAGGAACTATATCTGGATTTGAAATGGTTTCATGGAGGACTCCACCATGCTCGATCGATCTCGTTTTCCCTAGAGTAAATCTACAGCGACGAAGATCTAGAGAGGGACGGCCGCCAAGGGTAGCACAGTGGTAGTGGTGTCGAAGGAGGTAGTGGTGTCGGAGGAGGCAACAGCGTCGGAGGATGCGACGAGTCAACGACTTCGGATGTAGAAGAGAGAGAGAGAGAGAGAGAGTCGTAGGAGAGAGAGCTAGGTTTGTATCAGCAAAGATGGAGAAGGAGGTGGTCGTCTCTTTTTATATATATATATATAGAGGGATAAAATGGTAATTTTACTTCGGAGACAAACCGGGCCGGGGACGGGGCTTGGACACTTGTCCCCTTCCCCGGCCCGAAACTGATCGGGGATTAATTTTTGAATACCATCCCCGTCCTGTCGGGAGTATTTTTTGGGAAAAAATTGCTCAAATCGGGGTCAGGGGATCGGATCCCCGTTGGGCCGGGTTCAAATTGCCATCCCTACTCAAAACACTATAACATAATGTTATACACTTTTTACAGATTTTCCAGCACTAACAACAGCCTTGAGGGCTGTCTTTAGCATTTCCCATAAAATAAAGTGCAAGCAAAGAATGAAGTAGAAGAACTGTAGACCTTCCAAACTAAATTTCAAGAAATTATTGACCAAAAAAAGAATGAAGAATAGTTCAAGATTCGTCCAGTCTTGTTTCTTATTTCTGCTTCTAAAAACTAGCTGTATAACTAAGTGTTGTCAGAATAACATAACTTACTCAGGGGCAAAGTAAGAGATGCTCATTCATGTCTAACTTGGTTTCTGCAGATGGAAAATGCTCACAGCAAGCTGAACTTAGCGGCGAAAATATTAACATCACCTACAAGCCCGATGGTACACACATAGCCGTTGGGAACAGGGTACATGTTACAGTTTCTTGTTATTTGCTATTGCTTTTCATAGTGTTTAATCTCTACTACTTTGGTAGTTTGTTTGGTATTCCATCTTATGTTCAAACTTGGGTTTCTGATGGTTTCAGTTTCCTTGGAAACATTGGGCTCGTAGCCATTCTTGAACTCGTATTTTCTGTCTTCTATCTTCAGCAAGGAGGACAAGTATTTGGTCACTTATCTCACTCTGTTCATCATTTTCTATAGGATGATGAACTAACTATACTGGACGTTCGAAAATTTAAGCCCATTCATAAGCGCAAATTTGGTTATGAGGTAATCTCGTCTGAACTAATGCTGATCTTTTCCTATCAATTAGCTGGAAAGTGTCAAAAGGCATACATTAGCCGCCTGTCTCTTTAGGGAAAGGCTTGCATGAAACACTTGAGCCCATCATTAGGAACTCATGTTTCAAAGTTTGACTTTTACAAGTGATCCAAACTTCGCAGCTATGCTATGTGAGTGAGGTTGAGTGTGAAGGCAGCCGATCATTGTCTTTCCTCACTGCCTTTCGGTTCCTTTGGCCTTTCTAAATCATTTTAACTGGCTCAACTTGAATTGAACCACTATTATTTTCTGAACTATTTTTGGAAGCTGCACATGTTAAGAAACTTGTTCTCACATACCTTCGCAAGGTTTGCTCTTCAAAGTTTTTTAAACAGTTTCTGACCCACATTATGTTGCTTTCCAACACAAGATAGATAACTTAATATGTTTTTGTAGTTGATGAGTTCACCCCATTAATTAAATTAGTTACTGAGTTATTTACAGTTGTGGACATATCTGAAATTATGTGGAGAAAAAACTGTTTAGACCATGGACTAAGATGCCTTAGTAATGGAAATATATCTAAGCATATTTATACCTCCATGTATTAAATTGTTCTTGAATCCTTTTTTCTTATTAGGTAAATGAGATCGCTTGGAACACGACAGGAGATATGTTCTTTTTGACCACTGGGAATGGTGTGAACAATAGCTATGCAGGAAATTTTCTTTTGTTTTTGTTTCTGTTTTTTTAGTTGATGTATGGAATAGATCTCTTTTTATTACCTAATTTGGATGTTATGTTTTTAACACGTGGGCTGGAAAATTGAATGTTTTTGTTATTCATATTTTTCCTCCTTCAGGTACTGTAGAAGTACTGGCATATCCGTCCCTTCGACCGGTTGACACCCTTATGGCTCATACAGCTGGTTGCTATTGTATTGCAATTGATCCATTAGGAAGGTGTGCTCCACATTCCTCTTACCTATTTTTTGGCTGTCTTCTTGTTCACATTCTTCTGATGTTAGTGGTTTCAGAACTCTGCGTTAGTTTCCCCTCTATCAAAATGGTGCTGTAAACACTCTGTGATAAATATATAATAGCGTTGTGAGGATGCATATCCCTACTCAAGCCACTATGCTGTGCGATTCCTATGCATATCCCTACTCAAGCCACTATGCCGTGCGATTCCTATTTTTCAATTTCAAATTTAGTCAGCGTATAGTATGGTGTTATGGTCCTTATGGGACTGAGAAATAGAACACGAGAGAGTAATTCTGTATTTGCCCTTAGCAAAAAATAATTCCAGGTTGTTTCTTGTTAGTCTGGAATCTTGAAGTAACCAGTGTCTATTGCTTTCACCTTTTATTCTTTATTTAACATGTGACTCTGTGATACCTTGTTCCCTGACCTCATCCACTATGCCTGCTTTTAACATGACGACATGACAACACTTCTCAAAAGGAAAAAAGGGAGAAAAGAAAGAGAAGAAAAAACAAGACATGACATGACGCAATGTCGGTATGGTCTTGTGGGTTTATGTATGTGGCATACCCCACTTCCTGATGGAACTTTTCTTACATTGGTACATCATCAATCTCCAAACATTTATATTCAGAGGTCTGTTAAGATGGTAAAACATAGGTTCTCTTCAATAATTTTGGGTAGTTTCATGTTGACCTTTATATAAAGTATATTGTTTTGGTAAGAATAATGGGAATGCGCATCTTTATAGCATATTCATGGATAAATCAATTCTTAATTGATTCCTCTTTTAAGATGGACCCACAGCTGATAACTATGTTGTTATGAAAGTACGCATGCAATGATCTGTGCATTGATTACAACTTAACTATGTCCACGAAGAATAGAAATAAAATAACGAAAAATAATTACAACCTACCTACACATGATAAATTGATTTTACATCTTTAATAAAAATATCCATTCTTTCGAGTCAAATGTGTTGGTCTATCAAGTCCTTGCTATGAGCTATCACGTAATAGAATCCTTTTAACCTCCAGAGCTGCCTCTTTATACTGTGACAGATATTTCGCTGTTGGAAGTGCTGATTCCTTGGTCAGTCTTTGGGATATCAAGGAGATGCTTTGTGTGCGAACATTCACAAAACTCGAGTGAGTCTCACCCAGCATCTTCTGTCCTTTTATATGCCCGTGATTATTATATGTGTACAAGTTAACCTAATTAAGGTTTTGATTACCTCCAATCCTGAGCAGGGAATGACTTTTTTTTGCTTATTCTCTCAGATGGCCGGTGAGGACAATAAGCTTCAATTACACAGGAGAATATATTGCTTCTGCCAGTGAAGACTTATTCATTGATATAGTATGCATCGTCTAACTTCTTTATTTAAATTTCTTTGCCTTCTATGTTGTCTTCATTCCTATGGAAAACTCTTAAAAATAAATCAAATACCATGTCGGACACTGGACATTTGGATAGGGCGTGGCATATGTTCTTCTATAATTGTATTTAACAGTCTTTATATGTATATTTTGTTGCATAATTAATTGCTATAAAATGAATTATTCTTTTTCACACTCTATGCTACATAAAATACCATTTTATCCCACAAAATATGTGACTTTTTTGCTGTGCCCACTTACCCTTGAGTTAGAGGTTTGATGGGTCCGAGCCCATGTAAGATAGATTATCATAAAACACTAGGGAAATTTCTATGCAATGATACAACCATCCATCTATACTGTGATCTCTGTATTATACAGTTGGACATGGGGGAGGGTGGATCTGGATTTGTTTGCTTTTTTGGATTTTGTAGATGAATTGATTGGTTAGGTGTTTTCCCCTTTTTATTGGGGTTTTAGTTTTGTATTTTTTAGCATCTTCTTGATGCTTTTGGCAATAAATTTATTTATCAAAAAAAAAAAAAGAAAGAAAAATTTATATCATGATCCATTCAAATAGTAATAATTTAGCTAAATAATGCTAATGCTGCTTTCTGGAACAGTCAAATGTCCAAACTGGTCAATCAGTTCATCAAATACCATGTCGGGCTGCCATGAATAGCGTGGAATGGAATCCCAAATACAATTTGCTTGCATATGCTGGAGACGACAAAAACAAATATCAGGCTGATGAAGGTACGTGTATATTGTAGCTTCTTGCTTAATGATGGAATAAGGAAACCTAGAAAGATTTCACCTTTCTGTTTTGTGTGTTGCAGGTGTTTTCAGAATATTTGGCTTTGAGAGTGCTTAGGATTTTGACAGAATATGCAGGAAGCTCCAACCATATAGTCTGCAAGGCTCGTCTTAATTTATTAAGTTTTGGTCTTTTTGTTGTCTTGCAAATTGTTTTAAAAGTATGTTTGGTTCTGGGGGCTGTATTTTACTAGCTGTTCAAACGCAAGTACCAATCTGTAGCAATGTTTTGTGCATTGTGGGTGTTGAATTCTCTGCACATGGAATATTTCTGGCGTATGTGCATTTTTGGTTATGTGCATTTTTGTGTACTCAAAACTCTGTTGCACCTTCATTATTATCATTGGGGTCTGTTTGGTATCATTTTCTTTTTATTTATTTTTAAAATATTTTTTTGTAGTTTTAGAAACAAAAATAATGAAAAGTGAAAACACGATTTTTTTGCGGACACAAATTTTGAAAATTTATATAACTTGAGTGTTTTTCTGAAAAAAATGTTGTTTTTAGAAAACTATCAAAAACAGTTTTCCGAGCAAGTTGATCGTTGCCGCACTCTTTTAGATATCCAAATTATGAGGATGGAAAAGTTGCAATAAGACAAGGAGAGCTAGTGTGTACAATGAACATACCATGTGGTTTATGTGATATGACAAAACTTTTGAAAGAAAAAAAGAAAGTAAAAAGGTACACTTCTACATTTTGAGGAAAAGTGGAACACAAGTAGTATTGCATTATGAAGAATAGTAGTATACAAACAAGATATTTTTATACTATGTTTGGATCTTTATGTTTGGATATTTAATTTACAGAGAAATGTGATAACCGCCTATTAGCCCTCTTTGAGCGACAATTGGATCAAAATAATTCATCCCTTGCATAGATTCCAACAATGATGTTGAAGAAGAGATTTGCCAATCCTTTCCATTCTTTGGTTTAGCCAAAGTTGATCGAGGCAACTAAGGTGATCAGTCCATCATCTCAGTCACTTCAATTGATTTTGACACAGTGAGGTAATCAGACCACCACCCTAATTATCTTAGTTGACTTTGGCATAATGCCCTAAATAGCATAGTGATTGACGGAACCAAATGCAGAAGGGAACACCAATCGAGAGACGACATGTGGCATGAGGGAGCGTCCCATTAATATTATAGGGACCAGCAATGATTCAGACCACTAATTTTGGTGCTCTAATGAAGTATTAATGACATGGCAATGAACAAAAAAAATAAAATAAAAACAAACCAAGACCAAAACATCACATCATTGTGGGTGAAGCCCACTACCAACTCATTAGAGCTATCTTTAGAGTTCAAAAATTAGAGTTCCAAAGCATTTTTCTTATAGGGACGCTCATGGGAACATATACAAGTCACTCACTAACTCTCTAACATCAGGAAAGTTTTTAGAGAGTGACTTGCGTCATTCGAGAGAGTGAGTGACGTCATTGTGAATGAGTTATGGCCTCAATGCGACGTCAAGGCCTCATATAATTATTCTCCCAACTCTATGGACTTAACCTTTATATAACGATATGTATTTCCAGTCCGAATTCATAAACGAATTGTATGTTTGACAATTTGGAAGGGCCGCTGCGCTAACAATTCTGAGAAATCGGTCTCAAGTAGCCACACCACCTCGATCAACTTCAACTGACCCAATAATTAGCATGGCAACTGAGGTGGTTAATCGGTTGACTTCCGCATGTTGGCATAGATAGCAAGATGGTCGTCTGCGTGCTTGAAATTAGGCACCTAGGATCCAAACAAAAAAGTCATTAATCACTATGGCCAATATCCACACAAATCAAAATTAAATTTCTTTACCTTGACACTTAATCTAGATCAACCCCTTCCAATTACTATTCTCTAAACAAAGCCTAGACACAGAGGATTAGTTTGGAAACAGGAAACACCAAACCTGTAAAGCAAAAAAGATAAACAGTAATCAAATTATGAGAAAACCAAGTAATTGACTTCCACTTAATCTCCACACTCGAACTCTTCATTCTCTTCCCACTCTGTCTCTCTTTTCGACAAATCAAAACTCGCGCCTTTCATCCTCATCTCCTGAATCCACCTCGTCACTGCTCTATCATCGCTCCTCTCTCTCTGCAACTCTCTTTCCACTTTCCAGTATCTCCAGAGCTTAATCTGAACCAAGAAGATCACAACAATCGAAACCGAAACCAACAAAATCGATGGAACCCATCATTTTTCACACAAAGATTTGTAATCATTTTGGTTTTTGGTGGTTGAAATGAAGAGAATGATTGAGAATAAGGAGTGGAAAATGAAGAAGAAAAAACAGAGTTGGAATATTTCTCTTCCAATTGTGTCTTTTCTTGTTTCTTTAATTGTGATTCGGCGAGTAGAGAGGTGTTCTTCTCTTTGCAAGAGCTTGAGGAGTAAGAGGTGACCTGAGCTTTGAGAAATTTCCATTAATGGGTGGTTTTGAATTGTGGAGATTAGTTTGTGGTGTTGGTGTTCTTCGTCAATTGAGATTTCGACGACGTGGGTGTCTTTGGAATTTGCCATTGATTGGGAAATTCAGATAAGAAAGTGAAGATTGATGCGAATTGTAGGAATAGAAAACAATGTATGTATATGGAAATGAATAGTTTGTAACTGAGAGCGCGAAGATTTGCAGATAGCAAAGTGTGATTCGTTGGATTTGAAGGAGAAGATAAGAGGGTGTGTATCGGATATCATATTTGTTCCATATCTTTTTCTTTCATTCATTTGTTGATCACCTTTTTTCACTTAACTCCCACCACTAACTCCATTTCCATTATCACCCAATTCCATCATTGTTAATCTCTTCCTTGGCTTTCCCAAACATCCTCCATTGTTCTTGACACTTCTATAGCCCTCTTCCTTTATCACCTACCCTTTATCTCAACTCCTTCACTGTTGCCTAACCATGCCCTTACTATTAAATCTTCTCTCTTCTTACATGTGTCCTTTTTTCCTCCATCGTGGCACTTCACTTCATCTGAACTAGCCATTACAACCCCCTTATTTCCTTTCCTACAGTGACTTGCCACCATGACCTTTCATTATTTTCCCTTTAACTAATATTATCCCATTATTTTTCACGATTCCAAGTAAAAAAAAAAAAAAAAAACTTACAAAGGGTACGTGGGGACATAATTTTTAGTTGTCCACGTGGCCTAGGTGGTTAGCCAAGATGCCATGTGGGTGATTCTGATTGGCAGAGGTGTGATCAAACCACATCTGAATCCGAGATGTTCAAATGAGAGACTAGAGTCCTAGATGATGATAGACTATCTATTTGGGTAAGATTGGACTCTTGAGAGGGTTGATCTTAATCCAAATAGGAAAATTTTTGGATAATTGATATCATTGTAAAGGATAGACACTAATCATTATAAAAGTAAGATACCCTGTGGGTATAAGGTATGTGATTTATTTTGTGAGCTCTTGATTTGAGTTGATATCTTGTGAGATAAGTTACTGATTTGATCATCGAAGTATCCCCGGGTGGATGAGCCACCACGGTATTTCTTATTTTCTTGTGCGCAGGTGTTGGCTTAATCTATTCTTTTGTATGCTCTACATCTAAGTTCCTTAGATATCGACAGGGAGATCTGTTTGATTGTGAGGTCAAAAATCAACACCCACAAATTTGGCGCATTCTGTGATAACTTAGCAAGAATAGATGGCCAACATCCGGCAAGGAGAACGAAAAGTATCATTTTGATTCTTTGTTTTTGACGAGTGGACATTTGAGTCCTTATTTCTTGACGCCGATGAGTTATGATCTCGGTTAGAGGAGCATCTCTAATATGTTGTTTAGTTTACATGTTAGAAGATCAGACGATATAGGTTCCATCACCTCAGATTGACGAGGTAATAAAACCTAGGGAGCAATTGTGGGGACATAATTTTAAGGCCTAGATGGTTAGCCAAGATGCCATGTGGGTGATTCTGATTGGCTGAGGTGTGATCAAACCACATAATGAGAGACTGGAGTCCTAGATGATGATAGACTCTCTATTTGGGTAAGGTTGGACTCTTGAGATGGTTGATCTTAATCTAAATAGGAAGAGTCTTGGATAATTGATATCCTTGTAAATAATAGAGTTACATGAAGTAAGAATTTTAGGAGAAGTTGGACATTGATCATTATAAAAGTAAGGCACCTAGTGGATCTAAGTTATGTGATTTATTTTGTGAGTTCTTGATTTGAGTTAATAAAAAAGTTACTGACTTGATTGTCAGAGTGCTCCCCTGTGGACAAGCCACCGCGGTATTTCGTATTTTCTTGTGTGTAGGTGCTGGCTTAATCTATTCTTCCATGTGCTCTACAACTAAGTTTCCTATATCTCAGCAGGGAGATCTTTTTGGTTCGGAGATTAAAAATCAACACTCAAAAGGTCCTTTTGATGACAATATAAATAAATTATTTATTTAACTTATTTGAATCATATCATTTCTATATTTTTTTTACATGTCTTTTCATAATAAGTAAAAAAGTTAACTATATCCAAAGCGATACGAAATATTGAGATTTGCAAAGGAGATCTGGGTTAGGTCTATGAAAGTTTCACAATATAAATAAATTATTTATTTAATTTATTTAAATCACATTATTTCTATATTTTTTGATATCTCTTTTTATAATAAATGAAAAAATTAATTATATCCAAAGCAATACGGAATATTGAGATTTGTAAAGGAGATTTGGGTTAGGGCTATGAAAGTTTCATTGAATGGGAATTTGGAGGATCTACGGTCTAAAGGAGGGTTTGTTGGGTGAGTGGGTGCGGCGATGGGTATGAAAAGGGTAATGAGAGTGACAGGGTTGGGGAAAGGCTGATTGTGTTGTGGGGCATACGATACGGGGAGGGGTTAAGAGGGGTGGAAGTGGGTGATTACAATAGTAGGAGTTATGGTGGTAGTGGGAAATAATTGATGGTAAAAGGTGGCAGAAAAGAATATAATGGAAAGAGAGATGGGAAAAGTCCACATAGCCTAGTTTGTGAAATATATACTAATTAAGGCTTAGTTTGAAAAATATATACTTTAATTAAAAAGTCAAAAAATTATTATAAATTATTATATTATTTTATATATTTTTTTATAAAAAATTAAAAAATTATTAAAATGGTCTATTTTTAAACAAGGCCAAAATGGAGGGTAAAGTAATTTTCTAAGAACGTGTTTTTATAATCAATTTTCAAAATTTCATCCAAAATGTAATTAAAATTGATTCAAACTTATTTTGGGAAGTTATAATTTTAATAAAAAAGTAAAAAAATCACTATAAAAAAATAATATCATTCTCTCCATTTTTTCGTGTATGTTTTTTCGCAAAAAACTATTAAAAAGATCAATTTCCAAAATAGGTCTCAATGGCATTTCGTATTTTTTCTGTCGGGAAAGTCTGGAAATCCAAACTTACCTATCTAGAATATTTTTGGTGAGTGATGGTGTGATGGAAATTAATTTATGTAGTGTGAGATCTATATTGGGTTCATTATTCCTATAAGTTGGGGTAAAGATTAATTTCTAAATAATTTATAAATTGATAAGAATGAATTTATAGTATTACTCTTTTCTTTAATACCATTTCTAACGTAATTTTTCCTACACTTCAACATATTAAATATTAAATTTTGAAGACTACATATTTTAATTAAAAAGTTAAAATATCATCATAAATTATCACATCACTTTTTATTTTTTTATTTTTTTACATATATCTTCATAAAAATTTAAAAAATTATTAAAATAACTTGTAAGTTTCAACGGCCAGCAGGACCTGTTATAATTTTAGTTTCAACGGCCAGCAGGACCTGTTACAATTTTAGTGGCTGAATTGCAAGCCACATGTACCGCACCTGGCCGAGAATTTATTTGTTGATCCAGGCGTACATGATCATCATACCTTGGCCAAACACAAAATATGTTTCTTCATAATTTCGAATTGAGTAATGCTGAGCACTTCAAAAATTTTATTAAATTTTTATTAAATGTGTCGCCCGAATATAGGATTTATATAAGACTTATATGATATGAATTCTATACTTATGTGAGACCTTTGATAAAAAATTTAGTAAAACTTTTAAAATCTTCAATATTTTTCTTTCAAATCATTTAACACAAAATTATAAATTCCGTCTCTATTAATCACAACATATCTAAAACACTGCATAACCGTGGCACAGAATCACCAAATAACTTCTCCACCTAGTCTCGCAATTGTTTTTTCACGATTCAGAACCCAAACTAGTTCAGTTCAATACTCACTTTCTTTTTCCCTAAGAAACCTCCATATATATATGATCCAAACATGCAATATAGTTTTTCTTATTTTATTACTATCAAAATTTATATATTTTGATCTATTCAATTATAAAAATATATTATTTTTCTTTTTACAAACTCCTTTAAGATCAGAAAAAAAAAACTTGAATACAATGGTAATACCATGTCATTAATATTACCATCTAATCATTTAGTGTCATTTACCTTTCATGTAGAAAAATGCTTGGGAGCACTAATTAGTGCTCCCACTAATTAGGTGGCAGTGGGTCCCGCCATTAATGATGTGATGTTTTGGTCTTGGAGTTGTATTTTTTTTTATTTTTTTTTACTTTTTTAATGCATTAGTGCTATTAGTGGTGATGTTTTTAGTGGGATGAATCATTATTGTTTCATGTATGTGTGACGTCTAAAAATTAAAATATTTTTCTCTCACATTTTGTGGTTTTATTGTGTAGCAATATATTTATACTATTTTTAAAGTTGAAAAAAATTAATGTTTGAATTCCTAGATGATGAGAGTAAAATGAAATTCACTAACACTTTGTTTGGATCGTGAGTAAAGGTAAGAAAAGAAAAGAAATGGTTATAGTTTCTCACTATTTGATAAATAAAATAGAAGAAAATGTGATTTCTTACTTATCTTGTTTGGATGGAGTAAATCAGAGAAATGAAAAGAAAGTGTTTTATTTGATTTTTATCAAAATAACCTTCTATATTATTAAGCTATGTTTTTCATAAGGGTAATTTTGATATTTTAAACAAGTTTTATTAAATCCAATTTTTTTTTATACCAAATCTCACTATCTTTGGTGAAAAACAAAACACAGAGTTAGTGAGAGTCTATTTCTCACAATCTCTTGTCATTTCTCACCTTATTTAACCGTCCAAACAAGTAAAGGGTTTCAAATTCTCACTATATCTTTTCTTTTCTCACCAAATCCCTCCATCCAAACATAATGTAATAATTGAAGGATTGTAATCAAGAAAATTCTATAATATACACCATATGCACCTTTAGTTACAACCTTTATTGATTATGACCTATTGTGTTATTGAAGTCCCTTTTGAGAGTGATTTATAAGTCAATTTATTAATCTTTTTAACTTAGGTCTCGTTTGTCAATTACATATTTTAATAAAAAAATCAAAAGTTTACCATAAGTTGTCATATTATCTTCTTTATTTTTTTATACATCTTGTCATAAAAAATAAAAAAATTATTAAAATAATTTATTCTCAAATGAAACCTTTTAAATTATATTACCTCTTTACTTTTTACGCAATTTCCTTTATAATAAAAAAAAAATCAACTTATTTAGGCCGGCAAGTAGGCCTAAATTATGCCATCTACCCAGATTAAACTCATGGCATATATGCAAATAGTATTTCCCTACCCCCCAAAAAAAAAAATCTAACAACACATCGAAAAATCTAACAAGTCAAATCGAATAAAAACAAACATCCACCACCGCCGTTACCGGTTTCCAGTCAACCTCCGACCACCAAACCATCCCCCCCCCCCCCCCCTCTTTTTTATTTGTGTTAAGCATATATGTATTTGATATAATCATTTGTTATTAAGGGTACTTTAGTCTTTGGTATGTTCAATTTTTTTATTTTATCTCTCCTTTCTTGTTCATAAAGAAACACTCCCTCAAGAAATCAACCAACAAGTCATCTCTCTCTCTCTATATATATAGACGAAGACGAAGAGGGCTTTACTGTGTTTTTCCATTATTGCAGCAAACAAAAAGAAAAAGAAATGCATCTGTACAATGCTTGGCTTCCTCCGCCAGTCGCCGACGAGACGAAGAGAGAGAGAGAATCGTTCGCTCGCGTCGTCTCCACTGTCAAGGAGCTGTATTTGCCCGACGATCCTGAATCGGTCTATTCCACTCTGAAATGGATCTCCGTAATCGACATGTAAGAGCTCCAATTCGAGCTTTCAATTTCTTATTATTTCACAGATTGAACTTTTGTGTATATATATCTTAATGCGTGTTGGAATTGAAGAATTCTTTACTCGCGTAGTTCGATCAGTATTTCGTATGCTGTCAATTTTTAGTTTCAGTGATTTTTCAATTGTTACAATATCAAACTTTCAATTTCTGATTATTACATAGATTGAACTTGTGTGTGTGTATATATGTATATCTAATCTAATGCGTGTTGGAGATGAAGAATTGTTTTCTCGCACAGTTCGATCTATACTGTATTTCGTATGCTGTTAATTTGTAGTTTCAGTGAGTTTTCAAGTGTTACACTATCATTTTCTTTTTTTGATTTTCAATTTCTGATTATTACATGGATTTAACTTGTGTGTGTGTGTATATCTAATGCGTGTTGGAATTGAAGAATTGCTTACTCGCATAGTTCGGTCAGTATTTTGTTTGCTGTCAATTTGTAGTTTCAGTGAGTTTTGAAGTGTTGGACTATCTGTTTTTTTTGATTGTCTTCAATTCTTGAATTTCTGATTCCTATTCTTACTAATTTCTGGAGTTGTTTAGCAGTATTTATTGGTCTTTGTTTATGTCTGTATTATTGAATTTTGTTATAGCTTGTATCTGTAACAACACATGAATTCCTTATGCTATTTGATCAAGAAAACAGTCTAAATTCAATCAGCCTTCTTTTACTTTTTCTATGTGTGTTTCTCGTTCATCTGCTGTCAATTTGCAGTTTCAGTGAGTTTTGAAGTGTTACGGTGTCAATTTTTTTTGTGTTTTGATTCTCTTCAATTCTTGAATTTCTGATTCGTATTCTTACTAATTTCTGGAGTTGAATTGAAGTTGTTTAGCAGTATTTATTGGTCTTTGTTTATATCTGCATCATTGGATTTTGTTATAGCTTGTATATGTAAGAATACACAAGAATTCCTAATGCTATTTGATCAAGAAAACAGTCCAAAAATGGAACCATTTCTGCTGTTCAGCCATACCTGATATTGTCTGGGATTGCTCATGTATGACATTGACAATTAGTGAAGCACCTTCCAATTGGACTGTAACTCTCTCATGGAAAATGTTATGATTCGAGTAACCAATGATAAACTACAGATTTCTGGGGTAAACATTTTATCATGATATCTAAAATGATGAATACTTTGGTGATTAAAATCTATAGGTTGATTTAGACTTATCATCACTTAGAGAGCTATCATCCAATGATTTCACATTTTAAATGTTTGCTAGAAAAAAAGTACAGGTTAATGTGCATGATATATCAGTTTAGCAGACAGTTTGAATGAGAAACAATTTTTTTATTTTTATTTTATAATCATGAATGAGAAACAGTTAATATTGCTCCATAAACACAGGTTTCAGTGGAAGTTGGTCCTTATGTCTAGGATCAATCTATTATGTTCGGCAAGATGACTGGTAGGGTAGGTAGGTGCATACTGCATTAGTGAAAATGTTACTCTTGCTTGAACAAGTCAATTGCACTACTGAACAAAATCTTGCTATGGAACCAAAGCAAAGCAACTAATTCACATGTTTTGTAATGAGGTGGATTCTTCTTGTTTTTCCACAATCACATGTGGAACCCGAATAGACATGCCTAATCTTGAGTTTAGATAATTTTCACCTATGTAATATCGACACTTCCGTGGTTGAGCCATGTCCATGCTGGACATTTGTGTTAAGCATATATGTATTTGATATAATCATTTGTTATTAAGGGTACTTTAGTCTTTGGTATGTTTAGGGTTTGTGTAGCTTAGGTATATATATATATATTTCTCTTTGTAACCTTTATTTTCTTTTTCTATGCTTAATAATACTATATATTTTCTTCTAGCCTTGTTTGACTTGGCATCACAGCCTACCAAACCCTAAGCTTGTTTCTCTCCAGAGTGCTTTCTTACTCCACATTTTTTTTTTGTTATCAAGGTGTTTTCCCTCTTCCTCGAGTTGACCAATAGTTTGCTGATGTGGTAAGCAAACTTTGTGATTTTTACTTGTTTCGGGGTTGCCAGTGTGTTCGGTAGCATTATTCTGTGATACACAGAGTCTTCCGGCTATTTCTCTACCTTTTTAGGGTCCCTGTGCTAATATGGTATGCACATATTTGGTTCTTTTTGGTTATTAGGCTGTGTTTGGTAGCATTCTTTGTGGGATGCCATTTTTTTAGCCTTTCTGTTTGTGGTGAGTTGCCGTTGCTTCGGCCTTGTTGCTTTTCTCTCTCAGTTGGTTTCTCTTATTGTCATCATGATTGATTCAGTGCACGTTTCTCTGTTGCAAGATGTTGGTTCCTTGCCTATGTTCATTGAACTTATCATTGAAGAGAGTTATTACTATTGTTGTTGTCTTTTGGCAATTTCATTGTAATTGTTTGTGATGATCATCCTATTTTCAAGTTCAAGTTGGACACTTCACTTCAACTATTCCGTGTTCCAACTTGAGGGGGAGTGTTGGAGATAAGATTGTATTGTTAAAGATATCAGAAGATATGGAAGATATTAAAATATATGGAGATCTCATGATTTGTGATTATTATGATTTTTTGTATATTTGATTTATTTTAATTCCTTATCTTCAGGGATTTGATTGTATCTTCCACTCTATATATATGGCGTATCTTGTAAACAAGAGTATTAAGTTATGTGAATGAAAGATGTAGCTCCCTAGGGCTTTGTGTGTGTGGATGTAGGCCAATATTGGCCCAACCATGTTATGCCTTTGTGTTCTTTCTTTTCTCTTTTATGTCTCTATTATCTCTCTATATTCAATCTTATTGCCTAATTACAAAATTCAACTTGGACACTGAGGCTTGGACATGTGTTTCATCTGGAGCATGTCCATCATTTCAATACTTTCATAATTTCAAGCACTTGGTTGGTAGACTTAATTGGAGATTCTCTATACACGTCAAACTTTAGGTATAGCATTTTTCCTGAATTCATTAGAAGCTTTGGTTATATTTAATAAAAAAATTAGTAAATTCAATAAAGGTTATTATCAAAAGATGAAGGGGGGAAATGGGAGAGGAGGAATCGTTGTCAGATGTGAACGTGTGAACATTGATTGTTATTATGAGTTATAAATTATAGTTTTTCAGGGGGAGATCACTATTGAAAGATTCCAATAACACCGGTCCCTCTCTAATCATTACGCCTTTCTATCGTCAAAAGTGGGAGCAAGATTCATTGCACTCACTCTGCACATACAAAAATTACATCGTTGAATCAAAACCAATGGAAGCGGAATAATCTCATGCCGCAGGAAAGTAAATAAGGCTAATAAAACTTCCTTTGTTGATGCTCAAAAAAAAAAGAAAAAGAAAATAAATAAGGCTGCGGCCACTGGAAAATAAATTAGGCTGACTATTATCATTATCCATAGTGCTAAGAGGTGTCTCTTTTTCAAGATCTCATGCCTTGTTTTTGGCACTAGAGATCTTTTTTTTGTTTTTTTTTTTGGTAAATCATTTTATGCTGCTTCAACTTTTAATGTAACTAGTCTCTACTTTGTTTTATGTTGATGATGTATATGCTCATTCGTTTAGGAAACGGGCTATGGAATGAGCTTATATGCGATATATAGGGAACATGGCATCTGGTAGTTTATATATATGTATATATTATATATCTGTGCAAATGGGTTACTTATAAAAAAGGGTGTCCCAGTTACAATCAGTGTCTATCAGGTTAAATCTGTTGGTAGAAGAGAATAAGTTATAATGCTGATATAGGTCCCTTTAATGATGGCATCATTTTTTTAAACAAGAGAAGTATTTTGTTCTATTTGGTATGTTCTATTCTCCACCTTCTTCACCAGTGAATAGTCACTTGCTTTGTTATCTAATTGTTTGCTGCTCAATGAAATGAATGCCAGTTTTTTTGGTAATCGGGTATCTGTGTAAAACCCCGACTATTCTTGAAACCCATGCAAAGCGCCCCCCCACGTGGGTTGGTAAAATCTCAGGCTATGCCCGTGGGTGTGTCCCAAAAGGGATTGATAGCAGTCAATGGGAATCGAACCTTAGACCTGATGCTTCATGAGGCACCAAGTGACAGACCACCAAGCCAACCCCTTGTGGTTGAATTGAATGCTAGTTGGTCATTGCTCATTTTATTTTTGGTGCTGAATATAATTTGATTCATCTTCTCATACTATCTGCAGGTGACGTCTGTGTAAAGTTTTATTTTTTACTCTTTTATTTTGCAGTTTCATAAAAGCAAAAAGTGAAGTATCTTTGGAAGATGTGGCTGCCCTTGTGGAATTGGGGTTGGAATTGTTTTTCACGTCACATAACAAACTTCATGCCCAGGTGGTGCATCGTACCTCTGAATGTTTTTTTTTTAATTTCTTTTCACATATTCTCCTTCTGTTTTTGTTTGTTACATGATAGTGCATTTCTGTCATTTAGGTTAGATGGGGAAGTATCCTAGTGAAGTTACTGAACAAATACCGAAAGAAGTTGTCCTTGAAAGTTCAATGGCGGCCTTTCTATGATACATTGGTCAATACGCACTTTACAAGGCAAGTTTTGTGTTTTCCCCTTCTTAATTTATTGATTGTGAATACATTTTTTTGACTACATTACAATTATTGACATTAATTATCATGCATACTTGTGCTTGTTCTTTTAAATTAATTTTTTATATGTAAATATTTAATTATTTTTATTTATCTTTTTGAATGCCAATTATTTTATGTTATTTAGGATCTCCATATACTGTAAATCTATTTCCACAATTCCATATTTCATGTTTAATTCTTTGATAGCTGCCTTAGAACTAAATATTATCAGTATTGATTTCTCACAATCATACATCTATATATTATGTATATGTAGCACTTTTTAATGTTTGATATTTTTTTTTGAATGGTATGGTTTGATTTTTTATTTTTCTCACATAGTTTTTATAATCTGTCCTTCTAACCAACTTCCTCATAATTTTTTTTTTTGATAAATAAAATAAATTTGATTGAAAAAGTATCAAGATGATGCAAAGAATACAAAACCGCCCAATCATTGAGTGGAAACTCAAAACTTCTAAGCAATAGCATCATTACAATTTTTTTAAAAAGAAAATAAATCCGGATCCACCCGTCTCTCCAACCAGCTATACAAAGTAACTAGCAATCGATTCTCAAGCCATGGAACAGAATGATGTATCTCTTGAAATGTATGCTGATTCCTCTCTAACCAAACCAATCACATCAAACAAAAAGGCACCACCAACCAAACCCGTTGGTGTCGACGTCCGACTTGAGCCCCTTGCCAACTCCACAACATCTCCAACACTCCTCTTGGCTGTACCCAAAACATTCCAAACATGGAACAAATAAGCCCCCACAACCTCGAAACCACAACACAACGAAGAAACAAATGGTCCACTGACTCAACATCAGCACAACACATGCAACACTGATTCACTAATGTCAATAGTAAGATTCCGTCCCAAAGCAGCTGTCCATAAGAAGAATACAACCTCAGAAGGAACACCTGGCACCCAAGTACTCCTCCAACGAAATACACCCATCACTGCCCCCACCAAACTCCGATAGAAGGATGAGACAGAAAACTGTCCTTTAGTACTCAAAACATTCCAAACCGCCCCATCCTCCCCCCTACCCGTAACCCCCAGCCCATACAAGAAAGTAAACCTTTCCTCTAATTGGCCAACCTTCCAATCTTGAACTGGACTCCACAGCTGAATATCCCAAACCACCACATCCACATTCCCCAAACAATCTGCAATAGTAGCTTCCCGATCCAAAGCTACATCAAAAATTATATGCATGGCTTTTTGTCTATCATTTTGTATCCCTTGTTTCTGAAGCTGTGTTCTCGTACTTTAAAATTGGATCTGTTATAGGAATACAGGCCCAGAAGGGTGGAGATTGAGACAGAGACATTTTGAGACTGTTACTTCCCTTGTTCGATCCTGCCGGAGGTTCTTCCCACCAGGTTCCGCCTCTGAGATATGGTCTGAATTTGGGTAATTTTCTGAGTCTGTCTTTATTATGTCAGTCACTTCGGTAAATAATATCTTCTTCTAAATTTTTTGTCAACTTTTTTTGGAGCTATTTTAAGCTTTAGTTTTATGCTGAAACCTTGTCAAAGAGAAATCATTTGTTCTTCTGTTTGAGTTGTTTTTGGACTTGCTAACTTCTTGCATACATGTTGACTTAGATGTAGATTCCCACATTGAGATACCTGCTGATTTTGGGAGGGGAGGGACTGGACTAATAAGAGTCATTCTTGCTTTTGCCCTAAGCATTTGGTGTATATAGTCGTTTTCTATTGAATGATTTCAATTTTGCAGATCTCTGTTAGAAAATCCATGGCATAACTCATCCTTTGAAGGTGCTGGGTTTGTGAGACTGTTTCTTCCTACAAACATTGACAACCAGGACTTCTTTTCACAGTAAGGACTGCCAGTACTTTTGGAGTTATTCTTTGTATGAATTTCAGTATGACTGGTAATGAACTAGCAATTGATTTCTTTTCTTTACAATGACAGGGATTGGTTTAAAATATGTTTAGATCAGTGGGATTCAATTCCAAATTGCCAGTTTTGGAACAGTCAATGGGCAGCTATTACAGCTCGTGTCATAAAGAACTACAAATTCATCAGCTGGGATTGTTTCTTACCTACGCTCTTCACAAGATACTTGAATATGTTTGAGGTGAGTGTTACATAATTTTGTGTTGTCTCAGTACTTTATTTGTCTCTAGTTACAGGCTCATAAAGATGTTTTAGCCTCTATAGAATTTTCTTTAGCTGACCTATTTTCCTTTACTTGAATCTTGGATGGCACCCCTTTCTAGACTTTGTTCTTGCGTGGAAAGTATTTTTCAGTATTGCGAAGTCCCATTAGGCAACTTGCATGAGTGTTATATACCCACATGCAACAGCACTGGTCTTTCTCATCGTACACAAGTTTTTATGATAGCTTTAGCTCATATGGTCACTTGGAATCAGTTTTTCTATTAATCTTGTTTAAAATATGTTCACAATGTTGGCCACAATGTTATGCTGTTGTATTTTAAAATGAACTTTTACTCGTATTTCACAAAATTTTTCTCTGTTGCAAGTAATATAGATTTATTTTTCCATTCATTTCGAAAGCCTTGATTTGCTCTCATGTAGCTTTCTTCCACTTTAGGGGAGAGTGAGTTTTGGATACATTGTGAAGCAAAAACATTGAGAATATGAAAGATATAATGGTAGATATGTTGAGTTTAAGCAAAATGGAGAATAAGTACTTGCTTAAGCAAAATTGGTTTTAGCTGTGTATACTAGTTTATATTTTATAAAACTCATGGGTAATTTAGAGTGAATTTACAGGATAATTAACCAGGTTGGATGGACCATCAGCAACCCCAAAAGTAACAACAGTAGGAGGTTGTTAATTACTTAGCGATGAAGAATGTTGGAGGGGCATGTTTCAGCAGAGAAAAGCCCCCTCCTATAAAAAAATGTCTTTCCTTTGGAAGTCTCATGTTGTTCCCAAAAAGGAATGGTTGTAGAATTAGAAGTTGGAAGAAGAAAAGACTTTTCATTTCTACCTCCCTGTGAAAAGCATAAAATAGAATTGGTGACATTTGTGAAATCTGAATGTTTGTTACTGTTTGGATAATAACACTTCTAAACCTTTTTATTGGGTAAATAACCGGGGGGGGGGGGGAGGGGGGGAGAATGCATTTTAGAGCCTTCCGATTGAGTTTGCAGATGACCCAATTTTTTTTGTTTATTTGTTTTGAGGTCTGTCAAATACTTTTTGGTAGGATTGCATAGTTGTGATGTCATGAGCTTCTAACACATTGTGAGAGAAGGTTGTATCCCAGGATTATGATTGTACAAGATGATATTGAAGGATAGAGGAGCATAAACAACAAAGAATGAAAATAGTTGAGATTGTATCCCAGGATTATGATTGTACAAGATGATATTGAAGGATAGAGGAGCATAAACAACAAAGAATGAAAATAGTTGAGAATTCATATCATATTTTTCATCTTACGTCTCTCTACTTATGTAGATGGGGTTCACAAGACCCGAAATACTTGGGTATTAGCAATAATTTTTGCAAAAACATGGAAGAACAGCAACATCAAGTTGTTAATTATGAAGTCGGGCTCCTAGGATTGGTTGAGATTTTCAAGCTGAAAGATAAGAATTACTAAACAATAAACTTATGGGAATTTATTGCAGTGATGCTTTCATTTTATGCTCCGACTTACATGCCTTCTGTTTTTTCTCCGTTCTTGCTTTTACATTTAGAGTTTGTGGAGTCTAGAAATTGTGGTTAGGTTCTCTAGGATATATTCTTTGTATGCCTTTTACAGTTCTTTAATGACAAATGTAGGTTCCTGTGGCAAATGGAAATGGAGCATATCCTTTTTCTGTGGATGTTCCCAGAAATACAAGATTTTTGTTCTCCAATAAAACAGCCACCCCAGCAAAGGCCATTGCAAAATCAATTGTAAGATAAATGAAGGCCCATAACTAGCAGTTTTCATGGTATTTTGTTGGATGGTTTATGTTATGTGTATTCTGCTTTTGCTAATGCAGGTACATCTGTTAAAACCTTGTAGTCCAGTGCAGCAACACTTCGAGAAATTGGTCAACCTCTTAGAACAGTATGTTTTCTGCCATCCCAATGCTTTTATGTATCACTTATAATGCATTTGTTTTATTTATCAATTCTATTAATTGGTTCACCTCTGGCATTTATCATTGTAGATATTACCATCCCTCTAATGGTGGTCGGTGGACTTATTCTTTAGAGCGGTTTTTGCTCTATTTGGTAATTACATTCCAGAAACGCTTACAACATGAGCAACAGTGAGAATTCTTTATGCAAAAATTACTAAAGGTGTTCTACATCTGTTATTGTGTATTAATTGTTTTCTGTAACTATAAAATACCCTTAATACAGGAATGAAGAGAACAGTAGGAAGGCTGAACTCTGTTTGGGACCATCAGAAAGGGCTTTTTTTGTGAATACGGTGCTGAAGTTAATTGATCGTGGTCAATACAGCAAAAATGAACATCTTTCCGAAACAGTTGCAGCAGCAACTTCTATTTTGTCTTATGTGGAACCCTCTTTGGTTCTCCCATTTTTAGCGTCTCGGTTCCATATGGCCTTGGAGACGGTCAGTAATGTAGCATGCATTTCCTTACATGCTAGAAGCGTGAAATCCTTATTTACTTATTTATGATTTTCCAATAGACATCTGGTCCAACTTAGAAATCATGTCCCATGGATAAGATGTATTTTTAACAGAGTGTTCATTCGGTTGTATTGTGCTTGTTTCATCACCTTACCTTCTCTTTTCTAACATTGTGTCTATTCAGATAACAGCCACCCACCAGTTGAAGGCTGCTGTGACATCAGTAGCATTTGCTGCCCGATCTCTATTTCTCACATCCTTGTCATCTTCTCCAGTAAAACCAGATGATGTAGGTTGTAGTGATGGGTTCGTTGATCTTTTGATGATTTCATTATCCAATGCACTACTTGGCATGGATGCCAATGACCCACCTAAAACCTTGGCAACCATGCAACTGATTGGTTCCATATTTTCCAATGTAAGCACTAATCTTCGTAAAAAAAACTTGTCATAAGTGCATTTTTGTGAAGAAGGGTTCTGCTCATCTGTCTCAAATTTGCAGATGGCTATCATTGAAGATAATATGGATGAGTTGTCGTTGATGCCCACTATCTGCTTTTCTGAATGGCTTGATGAGTTCCTATGTCGCCTATTTTCTTTACTTCTACACTTGGAACCTAGTAGTGTTCTGTAAGTGGTGGATATCTGACATCAATATTTTCCCAGCTCTTTTTCCTTCTTATGCTTCTATTTGTTTATTTGTTAATTACTAATAAATGCTGGGTCAAATTATTTTTAGTTTCCCCCTTTGCACTCTGGAATAAGTTGTTAATGGTGCTGCAGGAATGAAGGCCTTCATTCATCGGCTACATCAGGAACTTTCCTGGTTGATGATGGTCCTTACTACTTTTGCATGCTGGAAATCTTGCTTGGACGGCTTTCAAAATCCCTCTATGACCAGGTTAATGTTTTTGATCTGAATAGTCAGTTCAGCTGTTTCTAATAATTTAAATTTTCTGGATAGATGTTCTCATGATTTTTACATTTCGCTTGCAGGCTCTCAGAAAAATTTCAAAGTTTGTCAAGACAAATATTCTTCCTGGGGCAATAGCAGAGGTTGGACTGCTTTGTTGTGCATGTGTTCATTCAAACCCAGAAGAGGCAGTTGTTCACCTTATTGAACCAATCCTACTGTCTGTTATATCCTCTTTCAAGGGAACACCTACTACAGGTTTTGGAGGAGAAGGAATTTCTGATGCATCAGTTTCTTCCAAGGTTTTTATATTTTTTCCTTTGCCCTGGTACTTGTCATTTGCCTTATGTTTTCTTATTGTGAATGTCAATTGTCTTTCTTCAGGTAAAACCCACACTTTCTCCAGCTCTCGAAACGGCAATTGACTATCAACTGAAAGTATTATCAGTTGCCATCAGTTATGGCGGTCCTGCCCTTCTTCGTTACAAGGATCAATTCAAAAAAGCTATCGTGTCCGCCTTTGAATCCCCATCTTGGAAGGTTTTTTTTGTGCTTGTCATTTACTTGTTGCTTTCTGCATTCTTGCATACTTGCATACTGATAAATATGCTTACTAGACATGACTCCAAAAGATTCAATGGTTCTTCTTCTTCTTCCCATTTTTATTTTTTTCCATCCATTGACAACTTAATCGCAATATGATTGATTTATGGCAGGTTAATGGAGCTGGCGATCATGTTCTCCGATCCCTCCTTGGAAGCCTGGTTCTTTATTATCCTATTGATCAATACAAGTATGTTTTTCATTCTTTACTTACATAAGTGGTCTTGACAGCCAACACATAATAATCTTCGTTAGATCTGATATGAACATGAATCCTTAAGGTTTACTTACTTAAGTGGTCTGGCATTCGCCATGCAGCTTCTTATTTTCCATATATGTTGTAGATGTGAATGAATATTGCATATACTAAACTGTATCCATGCATAAACGTTCTGGTTTTCTAGGTGTATTTTGCATCATCCAGCTGCCACTGCATTAGAGGAATGGATCAGCACAAAAGATTATGATGATAAACCATTTACAGGTCCTAAATGGCATGTCCCAAGTGATGAAGAAGTTCAATTTGCAAATGAACTATTAAACCTGCATTTCAAATCAGCTTTAGATGATCTTCTGAGAATATGTCAGACTAAAATTCATTCCGATTCAGGTAATTGCCATATTCTTTTCTTATTATAAAAAAAAAAAAGAACGAAAGAATAAACTCATTTTTTTCTGTTAGATGTTATCCCTTCCATTTGCGACCTCTGTTTTTCTGATGGACATATGTAGTAATTTATTGTGGAGGGATGTCTGAGTTAGAGGAGTTTAGGTCCTCAGTGGGTGATGGAGATTGTAAAGGAGGCAAAAATTGAGAGCTTAGTTTTTATATTTCTTAATTTGTATTTGCTTTCTTGTTGGATTGTTCCTTTATTTAGGTCTGCCTATATAGGGCTTGTGTGTATTGAGTTATTTGAGTTTATTTGCCATGATTTGGAAATAATTGAATTTCCTTGACTTACCTCTCTTAATTCAACAATATTCTCAATATTCAAGCTCAACTCAATCTCATAGTCTGCGAAACCATTACATAAAAGGCCTATTTATAGGCATTCCAGGAAACTGTAATTAAAAATTATTTAAAATAAAATGTACAATGATTAAATCTTAATCAAATAATAAAACTTAATAAATATAAAGTAATGCTTAAATAAATGTTTAAATTCCTAATCTTCAATTTATCTTCATCCAATGCCATCACCCGTAGGATATGCAGAACTTTGATTTCCTGCGAAATCATACAGATGCAAGTAATTCAATATGCTCTGTATTCTGTGTAGTTTGTTATTTCTGACAATTTTATGCACACTGTTGCCCAGGGAATGAGAAAGAGCACCTGAAGGTGACTCTTTTGCGGCTGGATTCTTCATTACAAGGTGTATTGTCATGCTTGCCTGATTTTAGGTTGTCCTTTGGGAACGGGATGGTTGATGATCTGGGTCATATACCTTTCTTAATAGCTGGGGCAACTGGTGCTCGTGTTGGTAGTGCTGAACTTCGTGAAAAAGCAGCTGATATCATACATACAGCCTGCAAGTAATATAATTTTCTCTAACAAATCCTTTGTTCTTTTAATGGACCAACTGTTGCTAGTGTGGTTTGCTGAAGCTGAAGCTCTTCAAACTTTGCATTTTGCAGATACTTATTAGAGGAAAAATCAGATGACAGCATCCTATTACTGCTTATCATTCGTATCATGGATGCCTTGGGAAATTATGGTAATGGACACTGCATCTAGATGGAATAATGCTTAGTGAAATTTTGAATATTTATGAGGGTATTTTTTGTCTTTAAAAGTGGTTTACTCTCAAGATAGACTCGTGTGAGAGACTTGGTATTAGTTTGGGTGGAAATTGTTATGGTGTGTTTTTAGTCCACAAACCATGGGGGGTTAAAAGTGCTTGTTTCCATAAATAATGTTTGATTTTTTATCAAAAAAAAAAAGAAAAGAAAAAGAAGTGCTTATTTCCAAATGAAAGGGGGTAAAGTGAAATTTGCTTTTTTTTTTTCTTTCTTTTTTGAGTTGTTCTTGTTCTAAATGATTCCTTATTTAACCTCACATCCAGGAAGTTCCGAATATGATGAGTGGTCAAATCACAGGCAGGCTTGGAAATTGGAATCTGCTGCCATAATAGAACCTCCAATAAATTTTATTGTTTCGTCTCATTCTAAAGGAAAGAGAAGGTAAGTAGTCTTTGCATGATATCCCCCTTTACACTCTACTCAATGATGATCAAATGCTTCGAACAGTGAATCTATTCTTTTCATCCCAGGCCTAGGTGGGCACTTATTGACAAGGCATATATGCATAGTACGTGGAGATCATCACAATCATCATATCATCTCTTTCGTACAAGTGGGAATACGTCTCCGTCAGACTTTGTGGTTCTTTTGATGGATGATCTTCTTAATCTCTCTTTGCATAACTATGAAACTGTGCGCATGTAAGTCCACTAATCTTCTACCCTGTTACATCAACTCAATTCATTGCAAGCAGTGTACGTAAGTAATTTAAAAAAAATATATATTTGTTTAATGGCTTATTGACTACTGTTTTTGCATCTTCATGAATGGGGAGTATGCTATGTTTGTTACTGTATTTGGTTCACAAGTGTTGTCAACAAGACGTAGTGACAATTTACAAAAACATAATTGGATTTAAATATCTAATTGGATGGTTGACTGTTTTGTTACATGGAAGGGTAAATGTGATGTGCCACCCTCCAAATGAATGTGGTGAAATATTGATGACATAGTTGGAATGTTAGAAGCTAGTTCTAAATGGGGGAATGTGTTAAAATTGAAATATTAGTGACAATTTACAAAAACATAATTGGATTTAAATATCTAATTGGATGGTTGACTGTTTTGTTACATGGAAGGGTAAATGTGATGTGCCACCCTCCAAATGAATGTGGTGAAATATTGATGACATAGTTGGAATGTTAGAAGCTAGTTCTAAATGGGGGAATGATTATCTTTTCAATGTGGCTCTCGCCTGTCCTGAAACTAAAGTTGGTATCGTATACTTGAGTGTACTTTTTAGGATGGAAATCTCTAAGATATTGGCCTTTTTTGGACACACATGATAATGATGCTTTTTAGTTTACCTTGAACAGTGTTCAGTAAATCTTGCAGTGATGCTGTAGCAGGTTTAATTGGCATTAGTAGGTGTACTTGCCCTTGTCCGGACAATGATGATGAGGCCTATGCCTGGTAGCATTAAATAAAGTTTAACACACTGAATTATGATAAAAAAAATCTGTTCTTTGGTGACAGGTTTTTGATAGGTCTTATGTTGTGACTACACTGATTTTGGTGCTCCAGTTCTCAAATATCTGATAAGTAGGACCAGTCTTCACTTCACAAGGAAGGATGTGCTAATAATGTTTAGTTAACATTCGCATATAATGTCATCACTGTAGGATTGCTTAGCAGCTTAGAGATTGATGTTTTTTTTGAAAAAATAAAATTTGTAGAGAATGCTATTTTTTCCAGGTTTTGGATAAGTAAGAAATTCTATTGGAACTGGTGATCTTGTAAACTTCATGGTTTCTGTGATTCTTCTTTTGGCATATTAGGTTTTATAAATCAATTCCTCAGTATGCGCTGCTTAGTGGCTTTTCAATTCTGCTTTCTTTGCTTATCTTTTTCTTGTTCTGGTATCATTTGTCGTATCTGATTTAAATTGTTGAATTGACACGCAGACTTGCTGTAAAGGCCTTACTGAAGATGATGAAACGATGGCCATCAATGATTTCGAAGTGCGTGCTCAGTCTTATTGAGAACATACGGCAACCCAACTCACCAGAATACGCAGTTCTGGGTTCTTGTGCAGTCCTTGCTTCGCATACTGTTCACAAGCATCTGACTATGGTAGTTGTCTTGGATAAAGTGATTAGAGAAATTTTATTTATCAGAAAAAATTGCTTAACCAAATTCTAAATAGTGACTGTCACTATATTTTGCATTTTCTCTCAATCCAGGATGCAAAGTCATTCTCTTCATTTATCCTCGGAATTCTTTCAAGGTGACTTTATTTTTGGAATTTGCTTCAATTTTTTTTGAGTTATTTTTGTGATGAAATGATGCCATACAATCCGTATCTTACATCTTTTTTGCTCTCTTTGAAGCTCCCATCATGAATCACTGAAAGCTCAGAAAGCAATCAATGAGGTAAGATCTCCCTTAAGATTATATAGAGGCTGTATTTTTCACTTGTATAATGTCTTCTGAATGCCAACAGCTCTTTGTCAAATACAACATACATTTTGGGGGAGTCCCTAGAAGCTTCCTTCGGACATCAGACATCAATTCAGATGGGACAGATTTTGCTGATTTGGTTTCTCAGATTGGTTGTATGAGTTTTGAATCTACCAACTCGCATTGGCGGTAAACATTCTCTTGTTTGACTCGTTAAAATCCTTTATATATGTTTACTTGTGTGGCTGTGCTAGACCCACCTAATAATCTTTGTGGTCTGGTGGCATTCTTTTTCTAGAGGCATAGAAATAATTCATGCACAACATCAACTTATGGTTACCTTTGATATTTGCTGCACATGAACAGCTCATAGATCTTCCAGATTTCTAAAATGAGCTCTCTTTTTTTTTTCTTTTTTTTTTTTTTTTTTAATTTTTTTTTTTCTAAAATGAGCTCTCTTTTTTTTTTCTTTTTTTTTTTTTTGTATAATTTTTTATCTTTTTATTTTCCCCCTTCCTTTTGCTAGGTATAATCTGATGGCTAACAGAGTTCTGCTATTGTTGGCTATGGCGTCTTCCAGGAGTGATCCAAATTCATCTTCAAAAATTCTTAGTGAAACTTCTGGTGAGTGTATATCGTGGTTGGGCCATAAATATAGCCGAAAATTTGAACGAACACTGTTAAAATTTCTCCATTTTATTCTTGCTTCTTTGTCTCGTGTTGATTAATAGCAACCTTGTGAATTGTGAGCAATTAAATTCAAATATTTTTTTCCAGGTCACTTCTTAAAGAATTTAAGAAGTCAACTTCCTCAGATGAGAATACTTGCAATCTCTGCTTTAAATATACTGTTGAAAGAATCACCTTATAAAATGCCAGCTGAGGAACGGCCTGATTTTTCTGGGGATATTCAAGTACATAACAAGTCCTCCATTGAAGGAGCTTTAAGTCAAATATTTCAGGAAGAAGGATTTTTTAGTGAGACTTTGAACTGTCTTTCTCATGTTCATATAATCACTGACAGTGAAAGTGCAGCTTCCCGAGGAAATCATGGAAATTCTTCCTTTCAGAGTTTGGCTGACAAATCTATCACCCGTTTTTATTTTGACTTTTCATCTTCATGGCCACGTACCCCCAGTTGGATTTCTTTACTAGGAAGTGATACTTTTTACTCAAACTTTGCACGCATATTTAAGCGCCTATTTCAAGAATGTGGAATGCCAGTTTTATTGGCGCTTAAAAGTGCATTGGAGGAATTTGCAAATGCCAAGGAGAGGTCTAAGCAGTGTGTTGCTGCTGAAGTGTGGGCTGGAGTACTGCATTCTGATGTCAATGGCCTTACAGAAGCATGGGACAGCTGGATGATGGTTCAGTTACAGAATGTCATTCTTGCTCCATCAGTGGAATCTATACCTGAGTGGTCAGCATGTATACGTTATGCTGTTACTGGGAAAGGGAAGTATGGAACAAACATTCCAGTTCTGAGACAAAAAGTGATGGATTGTTTAGCTACCCCTTTACCTCCAACGGTAACTACAACTGTAGTTGCCAAGCGCTTAATTTTTCTTTCAGCTGCTCTTATAGAAGTATCCCCACCAAGAATGCCAGTGGTTGAAATACAGCTCCATAGGAAACTTCTGGAGGAGTTGTTGGGTAATATGAGTCATTCATCTGCCCAGGTAAGAAATACTTCTTTACATATTTTTGGTCAATTCTCAGATGATGTCATTGTAGTTAATATACATTAATGGGTCGAATTGATGGTTCTCATCACACACATGCTCATTTAGTGTATGCTAATGCTTGAAATGGTGTGTGGCCTTGCTACATTCGGGGAGGTTTCCTCTATAACAAATATATGATGCACATCAGCAATCATTTCAGTATCAACATGAATGATCGAAACTTGATTTTTTTTCTTTCTTTATTTATTTAGACTAGAATTTCCTTGTTTTTATTATCAATTGACTGGAAGCTTCTTTGTTGACTCATTTATTTGGTATATTTTAATTTTTATTAGCATTGCCAAACATTATTTAGTTTTGTTATTTTAATTAAAAACCTTCTTAATCCTTTTCTTTTTTTCCCTTCAGCTCATTTGATACATGCTTATGGTTCTTTGAGTAACACGATTTTCTACAGAATTCCAATCTTATAACATATTTCTAGATATTCTGTTACTAGTTCTCATTATGTACTTTCATTCTTGCAAAACTCTCATCACACTTTTTCTGATCTACCTCGTAAGAAAACCAACAGAGCTAATTTTGAAAACTGAGAAACCTTTTAATGTTTGGAACAGGCTATTTTAGTAACTTTTTGACTTTTTGGCTAAAATATAAGGTAAAAAAAACTTGTATGTTTGGAATGGTTTTTTGATTTTTTACGAAAACATGTGCAAAAAGTAGAGAGAAAATGGAATCTTTGACTTTTTGGTATAGGTTATAGGTTTTTTGATTTTTTTAGTGACTTTTTGGCTTTTAGACTAAAACTCTTACTTCCCAAACGAGGCCTTAATCACTACATCATATGAACCTTGATTGTGGGGAATAACTTGCCAAAATATATTTAGTTTATGCTTTTCTTTCCTGTCTCAATCATCTAAAAATATTCTTTGCATACCTTCTGTTAAAAATAAAAATAAAAATTGTTCTCTCACAAATAGTTTATGCATTCTTTCTAATTCTTGCAGTAGAGAATTGTATTTGCATGCTGGGATTTTTGCTGTTGTGAATTCTCTGTTTTAAGATATGGATAGGGGAGAACTACAGTACGCTCTGGACATTGGATGTTTACTGGACACACCATTAGATGCGTCCCAATTAGGAAGTCTTCTATGCCATAAATTAGCTTGATCAAGTGATTTTTGAGTGTGGAAGAAATCATCAATTGTAGAAGAATCATCAAAACTTGTGTGAATAATGGTTTTAACATATAAAAGAACAACTATAAGTAGATTTTAATTATCTGTTATTTGTTTGGCCTCAATTCTGGATCAGAACCCATGCATATTTTTCATAAGGTGCTTAATAAGGAAAGGGTTATGAAATTCTAGATTTCATGTAAACTGCTTCCTGGAACTTTAACCGAGCATCCTTAAGTTAATAATTATGCAGTTTATGACCACAGAAAGAGTCCAGAAGTTGCTCTTATTGTCAGAACTTGATGCAAGTTTTGTTTGGATAGGTGAGGGAAGCGATTGGTGTTACCCTTTCTGTGTTGTGCTCAAACATTCGGCTTCATACATCCTTCAGCGATCATCATGCCGATGGTGGTGACGATTTCAAAATTGAAGAGAGAAGTTGGGATCAGTTTTTAGCAGAACGTGCATCTGAACTTGTCACAAATATTCGGAATGCTAGCCAGTCTGACAAAATGGAGATCTCAACAGATACAAGTCCTGACAATGGGATAGTAAATGGCGATTCTAAAGATGATGTGAAGTGGATGGAAACGGTACATTTTTACAGAATTCTGTTTAATCAAGGCTTCCTTATCTTCAACTGAATTCTGGTGATCTTCTCCTGTTCCTTAATGTTTGCAGCTGTTCCATTTCATTATCTCATCTTTGAAGTCTGGAAGATCTTCATATCTGATGGATGTTATTGTGGGTCTACTTTATCCTGTAATTTCTTTGCAGGTAGGTGCAGTATAACTTTTATTGCTCAAGGTTCCTAATTGTTCCAGAAATTCACCAGTACATCTCATTTTTTTTTGAATCTGTCAAACCAGCCTTCTTCTGTGTATAGTTGCTAGATGACCATTGTACACACTTGATTTTAGCCCAAGTGGTTCCCTTGTGGGGTTCCCAAGTTGTTGGAGCACTTTTTTTTGTTTGTTTGGACAGGGGCCACCGAGGGAGTTGGGTAAAGAAAAAGAAAATGATCTTTGTTGAATTTATCAGTATTAAAAATGAAAAAAAAAAAAATCTTTGGAAGTGATATTGCTTGATTTGTCAGAGATAAAACTTCTTATACATGGAGTTTTTTTTGTATTTTTTCTTTCAATGTTTAAAACATTTCATCAGCACATATAAGTTATGAGCCACCCGTTATATCTTGGAAACTTTGAGTTTTTTTGGGCTGTGTCAATGATATGTTAAATGTGACTTTGGGGTCTTTTTCAAATGTGTAAGGTTTGATTTGATTTCATGCCTCCAAGCATAATCGTTTTTCTCTGAACATCATTCTGACTGTTTGGAGCCATTTGATGGAGAGGCACCCCTTACAGAAAGTCAAAGTAAGTAAAAAAAAGAAAGAAAAGAAAAATTGGTGAAGAGACAACCTGCTGGGAATTTATTTTCTTGTTATTTTACTGTTTACATTGAGAAGCTGATTATGTTGTGTGCTTTGTTGCTGTATTTAAACAAAATTATTGGTTCTTTGAAGGAAACATCAAACAAAGATCTGTCAACCCTCGCCAAGGCAGCCTTTGAGTTGCTAAAGTGGAGGATTTTATGGGAACCCCATCTCCAGAAAGCTGTATCTGTGATTCTCTCTTCAGCTAATGATTCTAACTGGCGGACCAGATCAGCAACTCTGACATTCTTGCGAACTTTTATGTATAGGTATGTTACTTCTTTAGGAGTCTTCATACTCAATGGAACCTTTTTTATGGATAGAAGGTTAGTATCCATCTAATCTGGTTTTTATTTTTATTTGTGATTATATTTGGTTGACAATCCTCCGAAGTTACCTGAAGGAGCTGAATTCTTATGTTCGTGCAATGTTATGCAATACTTTATAGCCTATGACAAGACTTTGTACCCATGAATTGTCATTTATACAATTCAACTGGATTTTTAGTTTTGTATACTCGTTTTAGTCATTTGCATATTTTCAGTTTTTTGAGTTCTCTTGTTTATTTTTTTCTTTTGACATGCATGACTAGTATCATCACTTGTCTAGCTTGAAGTTTGGCATCTTTGTTACATAGTAAATGCAAAGGTGCAGTTACTTTACAGTACCAATATCATTTACATTGTAATCTCTTTTCACAACAGGCATACTTTTATTCTCTCTACTGTGGAGAAAAAACAAATATGGAGTACTGTCGAGAAGCACCTCACGGACAACCAAGTGGAGGCAAGTTTGGCTTGACTTTTTAAGTGGAATGGTTAACATAATTTATTCTTGGCCAACTTATGCACACGTCTTTTGAATGCTTTTTCTTTTTCCATTTTTTATTTTCATGTTAAGAACACTTGCATGATAGTTTCTTTGCTTGGGTTTCAGTTGTCTAGGAGTCCAGACACCGTCTTCAGCTCCTTCCCTACATGCCAATAAAAAGGCAATAATTGTGAAATGAAACAATTGATTTTGTATAAAGTGTCTTTTCTTTCACTGAAGGATTGAAATTTTCCTATAAAATGAACATGGTATTTTACTTTTGTCTTGCTGCTTATGCTAGAATTCTAAGGACTGTGGTAGCCTAAGAAGCACGGACACTTCTAAAAAGGTAACGTATCCGTGTCGTGTCCGTGTCGGACACCGACACTCTTTGGACACTTTCCCGACACGTGTCCGACACTCTTTATAACGTGTCCTATCTTTTAAAGACCCGGACACTCTATGGACACTTGGAGGACACACGTGTCTATCTCTTAAACACACATGTCTATCAATTAGACACATGTGAAACTAATTATAAGTTTGAACAAAACAACTTAAGATACAATAATAAAACAAAAATCATATAAATTTATAGGGATTAATGTCATATTGCATTTTTTTATTATTTTTAAATGATATATTCATATATATAACATATAATAAATATATAAAATTATATATTTCATGCGTGTCCCCCGCGTGTCGTGTCCTACATTTTTTGAAAATTATCGTGTCGGCGTGTCCGTGTCGTATCCGTGTCGTGTCACGTGTCCGTGTCCATGCTTCTTAGGTGGTAGCAAATAACTGTTGATGAATTTAATGTGATTACAAAAAAGGCTAGTGTTCAAGGTTTTCTCTAACAATTTTCATCACATGGGTATTTAAGGTTTTCTCTGACAACTATCATCACATGGGATGGTTAACTTGAAACTAAAATGAATGAGACACTGAACTTTGATTTGAGCTCAATTCCATATTTTATAAAAGTGCCCCCATTCTTTAAAATGTTAAAAGATGCGAACTTTATTCCTTTTTCAATTTGTTGGTTTGGTTTTATAAGGAGTAATGTAGTAGTACAGTTCTCCAGAGTCTTAGGATGGCAATGATTACAGTAATGATTTTACATGTTCTATTTATATGTGATTATGGGTAGTGTTTCGTCATGACCTTTTCTCATACGACAGATAACTTAATATATATATCTTAGTTTAATGATAGTTTGTGATTAGGAGGGTAGGGCCCCAAAATAAAATACAATATAGAAGAGCCCAGAGTTTCTTGGATTTAACAATGGTCCTTTAATTGTTTCCACACTCGTAGAAGAGGTTAGAGCCCTACATAGGATTTTGTCACTTCTAACTGTAACAAGTAGGTTTTTTGTGCAGGTAAGAGAACATGCTGCAGCAGTTTTAGCAGGCCTAATGAAGGGTGGGGATGAAAACCTAGCTGAAGACTTCCGTGGTAGGGCTTACAGAGATGCAAATGCAATTCAAAAGAAGAGAAGACAGAGGTCATTTTCTTGGTTTTGAAGCTTTCTTGTTATGCTAGTTACTAAATTAATTTCTCTAGGGAGGAACAATCTTTAGATATTCAGTCCTTTACACATGTTCACTTCTAGTCGGATGTCATAAACATACATAATGTTATGATGCATCTATTTCTTACCAAAAAGAGTTTGTGATGCATATATAACTTGTGGAGTGGGTTCGAGTGATATTGCTTTTGCACATGATACATTGGATATTGATTAATTTCTATGTACTGTATTCATGTACGTATATATTCATATTAATTGCTGTAGTTATTAAGTTCTATTGCTTGTGCATATGATGCATTGAATATTGAATAGTTCATGCCTTTGTTTTGGCATTCAATATTTGGTTAATGTTTCTGCGTGCATGATGCATTGGTAACTTATTAAATATCTCCTGCTACTTGATATATTCCCTTTATATGCTGATCCAAAGCTTGGAAATTTACTGATGCAGAAATTCAAGTTCTGGTCTGTCCATAGCTTCCATACACGGTGCTGTACTTGCTTTGGCAGGTTGTGTTTTATCTGTTCCATATGATATGCCCAGGTATGTTCATGTCTAACATATACTAGGGCTGTGTTTGGATTTAGGATTAGGGTAGGGATTTGTGGTGAAAAAAAAAAAAGGTGAAGGAAATATGAATGAAGTATAAACTAAAATTTTACTTTATTTCCCTGCTCTTAATGGAACAATTTTGACATTTAAAAAAAAAAAAAAATTGATTTTTTTATTTTTTGTTTTGTTTCAGTTGGTTGCCTGAGCATGTTACATTGCTGGCTCATTTTGTGGGAGAATCGTCACCTGTGAAATCTACGGTTACGAAAGCAGTTGCAGAGTTCCGGAGGACCCACGCAGATACATGGAACGTTCAAAAAAATTCATTTACTGAAGATCAACTTGAGGTAGATTCATATGAAATATATATTCTTGTATGCTTCCAGATCTTAAGTTGTTAAGCTCTCCTTTTTGTTAATTTTCTTCTTTAATTTAATTACTTGCAGGTTCTGGCGGATACATCCTCTTCATCATCATATTTTGCTTGATCCCTTTTTAAGAGAAGGGATATAATAGGAATAGGATTCGACTAAAACATTATAAGAAGCTATATTGTCCTTGATTTTATATTACGATCATTAATAAAATGGGTTTTATTTACATTTTGCATCATTTTATTGTTACCACAAGCTTATTACTTTTCATGAAGTAGGTATTCTTGTTTTCTTTCCCCCCATTCCCTAAACTATATAGGATTCATCAGATCATCTGATGGTATATCCCACAAGACACACTCCGAGTTGAATATGCTAGATCCGTTTCTAGTTCCTTTTCCACCCTCAGACTCATCTCCATTTTCATCCTCGAGTTTCTCATGCATCCGTCCTTGCTGGTCTCCTGCCGTGTATGTGCTTCCGGTGCAGATACTCTGGTTCCACGGAGACCCATCCCCTTCATTGCCGAAAGACGGTGGGCCGTATTGAAATCCAGAGACAGATGCCGGAAAAGCACTGCATGCCCCAGTGGAATCCCAAGGTTTGTTTGAGGGTGACATGTTAGGCTCTTGTATGGCCCTTGATAACCCTAGTTTGATTTTCTCAATCGTATCGTCCTTTTCGTCTTGATTACTTGTAGTGTAAGTGGCTGTTGCAGGGTTCCCTGGTGCTATGCCGGATTGTTGGAACTGGAAGTTGATGCGCTTCTTGGTAAGTAGGTGGAGCATTTCGTCTTTAAAGCAGCCAAGGGCGGCTTCAGCTAGGTGAGCCACCTGTGGGGGTGCTAGCGTGGTGGCGATCTCTGCCATGAGGTGAGAGAAGGGCTTGTGGGTAACCGGATCAATGCCCATGCCTGAAAGCTTCTTTTTTAGCTTTGTGTTCCAGTGATTCTTGACATCATTGTCCGTGCGGCCTGGCAGCTGAGCGGCGATCAACGACCATCTGCAATGTCCATTCAGTTGTTGTAAACTGAATGTTGATAATAAATAGTAGAAACCAAAAATGCTCTCCCAACTTTTAGGTTATTAATATTTTTTAGCTTATTTAAATAATTTTTGTCCAATAAGTGGTAACCAGAAGCTGCGCACCAAATAGCTTGGCACAAACTATATAAAAATAAATAAATAAATAAATAAAGGAAAAAAGAAACTATAAGCAGCCGATAAAGAAGAGATGAGTGCACCGGTTGCCAACGACTGAATGAAGCTTGACAATGGTTTGCTCTTCTGCATCGGAGAATTGTCCGTGCTTCAAATCAGGACGGAGGTAGTTAGTCCAACGCAGCCTGCAGCTCTTCCCACACCTCTGGAGACCTGACAAGGATTCAAGAGGAGGATCGAGTCAAATCTCAGGTATTTTTTTTACTGCATGTATTGCAATCGTCAATCAAATCACATGTAGAGTAAAATACAAACCGGCGTTCTTAGGAATTAGCCTCCAGTTCCGGGTTCCGTGTTGGGCAATGTAGGAAGAGAGCTTGTTGTCTTCTTCAGGTGTCCATTGTCCCCTCTTCACATTGTCTTTCTCACAGCACGGAATTCGACCCATCTGTTGTGTTCTAGTGTTAAGCTTTGCTTCAACAATTTCTACTACAAGTACAGAGCAGAAACTTTCTAATATGTTTTACTTTTGCTTCCGTAATTTGTGGTGTTTGTTTTTTAGTTTTTTAATATAAGAAAACAAAAACAGAAAAGAAAAATAACATGAAATGAAGCTTTCTGGTTGTGAATATTGTAAGTTTTAGTGGGGATGAAGTAGATTATAAATTGTGAGAGGTGTAAATAAATAGGGAGTTCAAGAGTTATGGAGGAATTGCATGAGGGAGAAGGAGACACCAAATGAGCATGATTTGATTAAAGAATTCAACGCCATTGAGCGTGTGAGGAGATGGACCGGTAGCTCACCCACAAGATGCCCGGTCAACTCCCCCCTCCCCTCTCTCCTCTCTCTCTGGATGATTGCCCGTGTTAGGAATTTTGTGTCTTTAAATCTCTGTATTTGTGTCCCGAATATTTAGATTGTTTTGTGTAACTTATAACTTTTTTTCCTTTTTAAATTATTATTTTGCGTGAGCGTCGAATATTTAGATTGTTTTGTGTAATTTATATGAGTTACTTATAACTTTTTTTCTTTTTTAAATTATTATTTTGCGTGAGCGTCAAATTATTTGGTGTAATTTTTACTTACAACTTATTAGGGAGAATGAACTTAAATAAGTTATGAAAAAGTTGATTATCTAATAACTAGAGTAATAATCACTTTGTTTGGTTCTAGTTTTCAGAAAATAATTTTCAGAAAATTTTATTTTTTTATTTTCTATATTTTAATTTTTTCAATGATTTTTTAAAATATTTTAAGCAATTTTTTTTTTTTAATTTTTAGACACATCAAACATAAATAAACTTAAAAAGTATAATATTTGTAAAAAAAATCTTTAAAAAATACACTAAATACCAAAAAATACAAAACGAATAAGAAAATTCAAGTACATTTTTTGTATTTTTGTCTATTTATTAATTTTTTAAAATATTTTTTCACAAATATTTTACTATTTAGATAAATCTAAATAAGGTGCATATAAAAAAGTAAAAAAAATTGTTTAAAATTTAAAAAAAATTCACTAAAAACAAAAAAATATGAAAAATAAAAAATTTAATTTACAGAAAATTGAAACGAAATATACTGAATGTTCTTGAATTGTATCTTGAAATACCTATATTTATTAGATCATGTCTTCAAATTATTGGAACTTAAAATTGAAATCATATCGATTATCTCTATCTTGTTGTCTTAAAATACTCATATATTCATTGAATTACATCTTGAAATTATTATATTTTGAGATTGTCAATAATCTAATGATTACGAGTATTTTTAGAACATCAAAACACAAAATTTTGAGAACAACAAATCTCATCCGAATTGGTTGTGGTTTGTTTGTGGAGAAAGTTGGGTGGCATTCTGATTTGGTCACACAAAACAAACTCGAGACTGAGAGACCTGCCACTTGCGAAAGTTAAGGTTTTGTTGCACGTGGACTGTAGCTTCATTCTATTTATCAAATTAGTGCTTTTTGTTTGTGTTTTTTAAGTCTATTTTAAGGTAATGTTTTTGAGTAAAAATTGTTTAATAGTGAAAATATAAAAAAAAGTAGTTGCTAATGAAACTATATAGTTGTTAAATTACGTTTTCAATTAGAGTTACATTTTATGTAATTTAGAAAATAAATTTAAAATACACTAAATTTATTAATTATGTTCCAAAAAAAATATGAATGATTTAAAGAGTACTACGCTTTGTTAGCTCCTCAAAGAGTGGTTGGTTTGGTGGGTGTGCGAGTTTGTCATTGCTCAAAAAGACATATATATATTATATATATATATTTGAGTGTTACTATTAACACCTCATGAATTATTTTAGATCTCTCATTTTTTGGACTTTCACTTATAAATTTTAAAATTCTCAAAATTTCTTTTCCCCCCAAATAACCATGAATTATTTTATATCCCTCAATTTTTTGGGCCCCCACTTATAATAAATTTTAAAACCTTCAAAATTTATTTTCCCTCTCAAATAATACCCATTATTATTCTTGTGAAAATATTTCACCCATTGAATGTATACTCTCCACTTCCCAAAAAAAACCCCTCTTCTAAAAAGCCCTAACAAAACCCACCAAGAAGAATAAGAACCAATGTGATTACAATATCTGTTGCTTTATCCACCATTGTCACTGTTAGTATGTGCTCTCTCTCTCTCTCTCTCTATATATATATATATATACATATTTCTTAGATGTTTCGTAATAATTTCTTCTCTTGTAGGAAAAAAATTATAATAATTGGTTTGGTTGATTTTATTAGTAGATATTATAAAATTGTGAGTTCAGCAGAGAATTACGCAGCAATATTATCAAAGTTACGTGATGAATGAATAACTTTTGAACCTGATAATGAATTTGGACTACTTCCGATAACTTCTATAAGTGTTAAAAATTTTGACCATTCAATGTGTTAAGAAATTTTCATATTTGGACTTGCATTTCCGACCATTATTTATTTGTTCGGAAAACCTTCTGCAACTGTTAACAATTTTAACCGTTCAATGTATTAAGAAATTTTCATGTTCGGACCTGCATTTCCAAACAAATCGGTTACTAGTTCCCGAACAAATAAACAATGTTCAGGCCTGTATTCTCAAATTTCGGTCATATGTTCGGGAGTTCAGTCCTAAAAAAATGACGAATAGATTTATTATTTTTAACATTTTTTTTTTCTTCAAAAAACTTACCCTTATAAGGCCAATTTCTTCTGAGCTAAGAACAATATCAAAACTATGAACATTCTCTAAGCTTTTATTATTGTACTCCTTTCGTCTTATGGTTATTAGAAAAATTTCCATTCATTGTCATTGACGGAGAAGTGTAGATAGTCAGATGATTGTAACTGTTACTGCTGAAATATTATCGTCAAAGGGTTTTTGAGGTTTTGAGAGTAGGTAGGTTTTGAAAGTAGGACTTGGAAAAGACGGATAGGTGGTGATGGAGGTGGGTGCTCTCATAAATTCTAATTCATAATGTAGTGAGTGTGTAGGTTTAATTGTATGATGAATTGTCCCGAAATTAATAATGTTGTTTTTAGTAATTTTATTTAAGGTTATTACTGTAATAAAAAAACAATTCAAACTTGAGAGGTTCAAAATAATTTATGAGGTACTAATAGCAACACTCATATATATATATGGAAAATGCTATGGACCCCAAACAATTTACCAAATTTTCTACCAAACCTCTCACATGGGTGTGGGATCTACACAAATCAAATGTGTGTGAGTCCCACACCCATGTGAAAGATTTGATAGAAAATTTGGTAATTTGTTTGGGATCCCTAGCATAACTCTCTATATATATATATATATATATATTGTCTCTTGTGAATGGGAAAGTATTACATGTATCAAGTATATGTGAAGGGTTATATATCTTGTATTTTGATTTACAAAAAAAATAAAAATAAAAACAAAAACGGGAATAAAATGAAAAGAGAAAAAGAAAATAAAATAAATCCCACCTGGTTGTAAGAGATTAAGTTCTCGTTTGGGAACAGGCTATTTTAATAATTTTTTAACTTTTTAACTAAAATATGAGATAAAAAAAATTTATATGTTTGAAATGACTTTTTAATTTTTTACAAAAAGATTTGCAAAACATAGAGAGAAAAAAAATCCTTGACTTTTTTGTATAGATTATAAGTTTTTTTGATTTTTTTTTGTAATTTTTTAACTTTTAAGCTAAAACTATTACTTTCCAAACGAAGCCTGTTGATTTCTAAATAAATTAACAATTAATTTGTAACAAATCATATCATTTGGGAATACATTTCAAAATGATGTTTCAAACATTTCTAACATTACTTCCTCTTAAATACATCCAATGGCGGTGTTTGGGAAGCCAGGCTAGAAACTATTTTAGCTTCAAATATATAAAAAAAAAAACCTTTTAGCCACACTAACCCATTAAATTTTTTTTTATTTAAAAAAAAATATATATAGCTCGACAGTGGGGGCAACCTACACTGTCAACGTGACAGTGTAGGCACAAGCAGTAACAGCCCCATCATTTTAGAAAGTAAATGACAATTTTGCCCATTTAGACCTATTTTAGAAAAAGTAAGGTTAGAGACAAATTTGTTATTTCAGCTTCAAATGTCATTTCAAACACATTTTTCAATATACAACTCAAATAAAAATTCATCACATCTTTCCAAAAATAAAAACTAAAACAACCTACTAAAATGGCCAAAAAGTCAAAAAGCCTAAAAAATAACCACTTCCCAAGCACCCACAATATATGCATCTTTTGTGCTTTGCAAATCATTTTTAACGAGTAAAGTTATTATACATTTTGTGGATTATTAATTAAATCTCAAGATCATATCCACCCAAATAAATACGACTTAAAATTGTTAAAATCAAGATCTTACATTGGAACGTTGGAGGTATTTACAGAATCAGATCGTAGAATCAGATTGAGAATTGTAAGATCCTACTAAGATAAATTATGTAATAATTTAATTTAAATAAACATTTATTAAAAAGTATACACAATATGAGCTTACATTCTATTAAAAAGGAGTGAAGATATTATGAAAAATATAATACATCATATAAAATGTACATATAATATTATACAACAGAAAACTCGATGTAAAAGTTTTGTATTTCATCAAAAAAGAAGGTGAAGAAGAAAAATTCTTTAACAAAATACTTTACAATATACAATAATGCATAAAAAGTGAAGAAAAAATATTTAACAAAGTTGAATAAGAAAATAAATTAATGGGTTGTTTAAAAAGTGATAAATTAGTATATTTTTTAATTTTTTACGAAAAAATATATAATATGAATTAGGATTTTAAGTGATGTGGCCTAGAACCTCCTTGCACCGCTTGGCTTCGTAGCTTTACAAGCAATGGCCCCAGTGCCTGTTTAAACGGAGCAACGTTGGAGACATTTTCAAGGTTCCGCACACCTGCCGGATTAGTTTGCAGTGTTCCCCCGGCTATAGTTTTGTATGAGTACCTTTGTTGTGCAAATTTTATGCAATATATCATAAATATTATTATGGTATTATAGAAAATCAATCCACATTATACCAAGTTTGTAAATTAAATGTAAAGCAGCACATCAGTTCTACATACTCAGAAAGGAATTTATAATTTTAGTCTAAGATGCATCTATAAATTGGCCCGGCCTCATAGTGAGAAGATTAAATCTACACTCTACATTTAAAATTTTGGATAAATTTCTGATTTTTCTTTCTGGGTTTATAGACTTTCCAGATTGTGAGACATATGTAGTTGTTGTCCTAAAATTCTTACTCTCTCCATCCCAAAATAATGGTCCCTTTTAGGGAATTTGACTTTTTTTGGTAGCATAATTATTGCACTTTAAAAAAATTAATTTTTCAAAATTATCTTTTGATAGTACATTTTTTGGGAAATATCAATGTCATAATTATACTTTTTATGTTGTTATGAATTTAAAAGAAGGGCAAAATGGGTAATTTATAATATTTTTGTACTTGATTTTTAAAGAGTGATGCTATTAGCACCCCAT